AAAATAGTCTGGCACCAGCCCATACAACAGTTTACAAGTTATAAAAATACATTCAGGGAACACGATCAAAAATTTGTTTCCTTGTGAATAAGGTCAAAAGCCCACAAATCATGGACGTGTGCCAATATGTATCACAAACATACATGTACATGAAATGTGTTTTGTTGTAAACTTTGCACGATTTAACAGAATCTCTTCAGTGAGTTTGTGAGTTTCTGAAAAGAACTGGGGGGAATCAACGTTTCGGACAGTGTACTCTGCTCGTCGTCAGGAGACTGACGACGGGCTGAGATTTGTTACACGGTGCAAACCTTCAGATCTTAATATCTGTTGTAAACTTTGTTGTAATCGATGTGTTTGGTGGGAAAACTGGTAGTACTGAAGAATAGCTAAATACAAGTTTATCATGACTTGTTCACGTTATAGTCACTTGAATGGCTATTTTCACTATTACCCAAATTTTTATCTTGAAAAATGCTGTAAGCACAGTGTCCATCAACATTTTTTCCCCTCGAGGGTGTTTTATTTTTCTATTTTTGCGGGTGGTGTGAATGCATGAGTATAAACTTGTTTCACTTTTCAACCTTGTTTATGAACGGCCATTGAAAAGAGTGAAACTGTTGGAAGTGAGATCTTGCTACTTCTGACATCTGATCGAAATTTTGACAGCCATATTTGCATCTGTTGAAGTTAAATACACATGTGTTCGCAATCTAGTATTCTGCTGTTTTTTCCTGTTTCTTGGTTTGCCGGCTCATTTGCTTGACTTTCTCTTCCCGCGTCTCACAATCGCTTCACGCCAAGATGGCGACGGCCAGACTTAGCAACACGCCGCGGTGCACTTTACCGATTTCCTGCCTCACGTTAAAAAAAACCCCAAAAACCTCCAGGTCTAAGTTCAAGAAGCTTATTACCTGGCGCGCAGGAAAGCCGCGTGAGTCCATATACATGATGAAAGCTAACCTTCAGCACGGATGGGAACGGGGAAATAACTGGAAAGTGGCTTCCTGTACTTCAATGATTGTTCAAGCAAGTACAAGTATTAGAAAACAAGTCAGCACGGTTTAAGCGAGTATAGGGTGTCTTAGCTGCACAGTGATCAAAAAGTATAAGGAAGAGAAACATTAGATCAACCATATAATATTTGATTCATCCCAGTTCGAAAGCACTGTCCGTTTATCACACTTCACTTGTCTCTTCCATAACAAAATTTCCTCTTCAACTGAAACACGTTCACTTTTAAGAGTATCAGTTTTTGATTAATTTGAAAAAAGGACCAAATTCGAATTCGAAGGCGTCGTTTTAAGATTGCTACTGAGCCAACTAATAATAAAAGACATGAATCATTTTCCAATTTCATTTAACAAACGACAGAGAAATGTGGACCCCAAAAATGTTATAAACAGCATAGAACGTATATATTACGACTGGATTCAAAACCTGATAGACGGAGGCGCGATAATTATATCAAAATGCAACAGAATTTTTACGATATAAAATGCACTACAACCTCTTGACCCTTCTAATTTCATTATCAGTTCTTCGAAAGAAATCCCCATAGGCACATAGCGACTGCATGCATGCACATGCGTTGGTAAAATTTCTATCACATTTCTTGGAACTCAGTTATTGCATATCTCGCTTGCACTTTCATCAGAATTGAAAGAACGAACATGCAGTACGTATGTGTGAGGGGGAAAAACAGACAGGTCTCCAGGAAAGCACGGAGTGTTAATCAGTCAGCCTATAGAAGTAAGCGGCCATCGTTTCAGGGCCAGTTTTATGCCGAGATACCTGCCGCACGGCCCCGTGGATATATTGCACGCACGGCCGGATAACAAATCAAGCTTACCAAATTGTGATAAAAAAAATAGGGGGAAATGCAAAAGTCCAACATAATTGCCTTTGTTTCTTAATATGGAGTCTCGCAGAGCTCGTGGATTTATAATTCAATTATTAATGACAAATTTGTTCTCTCGCGGCTTAGCGCTTCAGTAATGCATTTGACATGTGCGGCCATTTTGTCAGGCGATGAAGTACGACAAACGACAAATGTTGTCACACCGTTTTTACCAAGTATTTCCCCCCGGCATTTTGTCCTTGTTCTTTCCTTGGGATGAAGTACAATGACTCGACCCCTTACCAATTTAGGTCATGAGTACCTGTATAGGTCGATAGACCTACGTTTCACGCCCAGGTTTGAACATAGAGCAAGACATGTACCACGGGACCAATGCACCATGACCCCTAATGAAATTTGAAATCCATATTTTCGTACCATCCCATGTTCGTGTGTCCAGATCAATTAGACGACATGTGGCGTGGCACGTATGCGCACAGCTCCTTAATATGACCGTGTTACAGAGAGAGTATCCGGCACTCGCTGCCCGAAGTGCCCGTAGGTTCAAATTCCTCAGATGTTGATACCCATGCTGCCGTTTGTAGAACACGAACGTCGGTGTTAATGTCACTGCCCTTGGACATTAAGGTCACGACAGAGAGAAGGCAAGTGTAGCATGGACACCAGACCGCTGTTTTGCCTCACGTTTGAGCCATTTCTGAAACCTCGACTTCGTCTCCAGCTTAGTGTTTTTGGGGCTTTGACGGTCAAACCAAATGAAAAAAGACAATCAGACAAATTCTTCACAATATGCGATGTGGTTTCTCTGTAATGGGAAGTACACCCACACAATAACATGACCATACTGCGGCGTTATTGTCAGTATTAAAACGTGCACATGATTGAATCCCAAGCTGCAACGAAGCCAAGATTTTAGAAAAGGCGATGCCTCATTACACAATTATGTTTGTATTATTTTAGAGAACATTGAAGATGCCAACCGCTACGCGCTGTTATAGGTTTGTTTTTACTTCAGCGGTTGATGCTATTCCTTGAATGTTAGATTCAGACCACTGGACACGAGGTTATTTTTAGGCACAAGCCTCAGCATGCGTAGCCCTCCCCCCCCCCCCCATGGTAGATTTGCTGGTAATTTTGCCGATGCCGCGGCACCGACTGTCAAAAATGTGAATTTCAAATACATTATGTATACTGCGTATGCTGCATACTTTGTCGTGAATTCTTCATCACAAGCTGAATCCAATTTCCTTATCACCTGCATTAATTTTATGAAAGTACACAATACATTTACAGTCTTCAGTCCTTTAGATCTTTTGTTCCCTGAAAACCGCATGAACAAAAGCACCATTGAATGTTCCTTTGCAATATTCCGTCCATTCAGGCAATTATTGTGAGTAAAACGCAAGGGTATAATTTGTAAATTGTACGGGCGTTTCAGCCGTCACTGGTGAATGCCGTTCATTTCGTTCCGGATCGATACTATCACAGTCTGCCTGCCAACCGGCAAAATGGCTTCCCATGACCGACACACATGGCCTCGGAGATTCACCACATAATGGCATGTCGCGCCGTCTTGTAAAATGTGGGATTTGATGATCGTATTTGAGATAGCCATAATTTATATGGAATTCTAATGTTGTTATCTTTATTCTTTCAAGAACAGAATTTTATTATGTCACATAATGTTATCTTCTAAAGAGTGTATATTTTTCGGTCCGGTTGACTTTTTGCGATTTACATGTATCAGTGTAGTGCATTTACATTATCAAAGTTTAGAGCAATAGTGCGCTATTTTTTTTGTATCTGTATGAAGGAATGCTTCAAGGGCGGATCTAAATTTCAGGAAACGGGGGGGGGGGGGGGAGAGGGGGTGATATGAAGGTGGGAGAGGGATTGAGTGAAGTGGTCCGGGGCTTGCCTCCACAAAAACTTTGAAATCTAATACGATGCTTTCTCCTGCATTCTAAGGCAATTTGAGAATAAAGTGAGGAATTGCTTTAGCATTCCATTTATTATTTTGGGGCAAATTGTACTAGTTTCATGACATTAGTCAACGGCTGAACGGAGGGTGGGCGTGGTTGCAACCCCCAAACCACCCCTCCCCTAAACCCGCTAAACTCATTTGCAAGTATTGAAGACTACTTGAAATGTACATTATCATTTTGCAGGCGGATTTCGGAAGTGTACTAATGATTTGCTGATTGTTACCATCAACCATAGACATAAAACATAATGATGTTCATGATGACTTTATTGGTATTGATACAACTGAGCATGCGCATTTGTTAAAGACAAATCCATCACGTGAAACAAGGTCTTCACATTACAGTTACGCATCCCTATGAAATAGTACACGCTTATTTGGGTTGCAACTGGCTTATCTTTCTTCATTGGGAGTCTAGTTGATTTCGTTGTGACTTGTCAGCTGCCCGCGGCTAAATTAAGAGAGCGACTATTCCCGATTCCCGAAGGAAGTGTTCTAAAAATACAAATCTACATTTCGAAAGCAGTGTGCCGCAGACGTGACGAAATGTGCCGGTGGGGATTACTGTTTCCGCCACCGCTCTCTCAACCCGACGTATCAGGGGAATCTATGTCGGGCCGTGGTATAATTTTAGAGAAGGCTTGCGAAATTCTGATTCTAAAACTGAACAGTCATTGGGATGGTTAATTTTTTTTTATATTGAGGTCAGCCCTAACAAGGCTTAGAAGTCACTGGAACAGGAAACCAAATGGGCAAAGAAAGTGACATCATAATGGGAGCTCGGTGGTCGAGTGGTAAGACGACCAGTGTAAAGCAGGAGGTCGTGGGTTCGTGTCCGACCCGAGTAAGCTTGTGAATTTATCTCGCAAGCCATCAGACAACACTGAGTATGCAGTGTTTATAAAATACGTCGGCGAAGGGCAAAACTCAAGTTTAAATTCACCCTGTCTCATTGGTAAGCAAAACAGGGCACAGATTGGGGAAAAGTGCCCTACATTTACTTGGGGAGAAGCAATATAGGAGGTGAATTCCCCAGTAAATAAAGCAACACATTTCCTCATAATTAATTTCATCCTCATATTTCATCCTGGCACTTTTAATGTTTTCCGGTTGTGCCGCATGTGTAACCGCTTGACATTTTGCTTGCACCTTTAGGAGCCATTTTGTCATCACCATGGAGATGACCAGCCTCGAACGCGAGCTGATCTGCCCGATCTGCCACGACTACTTCACCACGCCGCTGTCGTTGCCATGCCAGCACAACGTCTGCCACCGCTGCGCCAAGGAGCAGGTGGCGGCGTCCACGGCGCATGGGCATCACAGCTCCGACGAGAGCCTGAACACCGCCACCAGCCCCACCTCCTCCGTGGTCTCGCTGCCCGTCACGCCCTCCCGGCCCCTCACTGCCAGTAGCCTGCGCTCCTCCTTCCGCCGGCGGGCTACTGTGACTGGGACGACTCCCACGGCCAACACGCCCATCAAGGCGCTCCCAAGAGACACCGCGGGGACGGCTGCGAGCAGCAGGCGTGAGTCGCTGCCCGCCGCGAGCCCTGCGGCTCTCACGCCCCGTAGGAGGTCGTCTACGTCGGTCCCTGGTGCCCATCCCTCGACTTTCTACTGCCCGACGTGCAAGGAAAAAGTGGAATTAGGAGAGAAGGGACTTAACGGCCTCTACCGGAACTTTGCTTTGGAAGTCATCGTTGACAGGTGAGTTTACCCACCCACCCCACCCCCCCGGCCCCTGCAAAAACAAAAACAAAAAAACAATTCATTATTTTTCCAATGATAGCTTTCTCGTAAGATATGTCCAACATGGGAGTTTCCCGACACAGCATTTGAAGTTACTGACCCATAGAGAAAGTTAGTTTAATTCAGTTCAATTCAATTTAATTCAGTATCACGTCATTTTATTTCCATACTAACAAATGGTAATAACATAATGCATTTACAACGTTGTGGGGGTAAGAGTTCTGAGGAGAATCAAAGGTATCGACTCAACGTTTTGGTCAACATGCTCTAATCAGCGTCGGGAGATGCGTTAATCGATTTGGAGTGTGTGTCCATAAACTGCATCCAAGTTATATACTCAACCATATAAAACCTCAAAACAGTATGTCCGTTCTATCTTGTCAAACCCAAAAGCGAAGCACACAAACACACAACATCCTGATTTGCGCCATGTACGTATTCATTGCCTCGCTCATTCGCTGCTTTCGCTCCGTTGAAAAAGGTAAAACTTGATTTCTTTCTGAAGTTTATTCAAGCTAACGACCGAGTATTATAGCCACGAGCGCTTGTATAGTGAACAGTCCCATGTGGCAAATGAGCCACGTGCCTATCATTGCAAACAGCCAAGTCTTGTCGAATTGGACTTTAGAAAATGTCTAATATAGATAGAATCTGTTTACGAATCAAACTTGCATGTATCTATTCTAAATGTCTGTCTTTTGATAGCTGAATTTTGGAAGGTAATGGTATTGACAGATCAACATTCAAGGACCCAAATCTAATCTTTGTTCGGTATAGCAAAGCACATCAAGCGTGTGTTGTATCGCCAGTTACTCGCATAGAAGTGAATAGGTCTGTTGAGACTTGCTTGGCAGGCGCAGCAGCACACGGGAAACAGTTTATGATGAACGCGCACTTTCCGTTGGCAGTGGTTCTTGTTATAAATCACGCATCTTGGGACATTTTGGAAACTCACAGCTGCATCATGAAACATTGCAATGCCATCTTGTTCAAGAATGAACGAGAAGTCTTTGGTTTGATGACATCCACAGTTTGCAGTTCGAAACACAAAGCTATAGTGTCGGAATATTAGGAGTTTATTCGAGTTGAACCTGAAATAGCAGTCTGAATTTGTGTCAACTGAAGAAAGTTATGTCGTGCTCGAAACCTTTGAATGATCAACGACAGGTTGAACTCAGAAAAGATCGATCGCATATTAACGCACGCGATGTTACCTCAGTGCTTTATGGACTTGGAAAGCGTCCAAGCTCGTTTGGGAACTGTTTAGTCTCTGGTTGCTGGGAATAAAATGTCAAGTTTATGAGTTTCATGTCTCCAGTGCCTTCCTGATACGGATTTACTTCATTACGTTCGTAGTCAAGCCAATTCCACGAACAACTTTTGATGCAAATCCCAAATTTCACATCAGACTGCAAATTTATTTCAAGGCGAAACACCGTGTGGATTATTCGGACAGCATCCAGTTCGATTGCTGTTGGTGGGATTTTGTATGCAAGAGATGAAGAACAGCCATTGTAAACTCTTACCTTTGAACTTTCGTCTTAGCCCTGCGATCAACATTAGTAACACTACACTGCACGATTTGCGTTGACGCCAAATTGGGCGGGAAAAGGAGTAGTCAATAAGATTCGTTGACAGTCGTCAATAAGCAGTCAGATGTATCAAATCTTTAGGCGTAATATCTATTGCAAAGTGTAAGCAACTTGAACTTGTGAAAGCAACATGAATGCGTGGCAAACGTAAGACCCATGTGCAATGAGCATTATGTACAATGAGCTATCGCCGCCATCTTGATTTTACAGACATCGTGTGGTCATCACATAGGTGTTGTTACTGACAATCTATGTCGTCTATACGGTCTCGCTTTCGTTCCCCACGCAGGTTCAAGCTCGCGGCCAAGAAGGCAGCCAGCATCCCCTGCGGCGTCTGCAAGGCGCGGCCCCCTTGGGACGCCACCAAGAGTTGTCTGGACTGCAAGGTCAGCTACTGCAATGAGTGCTACAAGCATCACCACCCATGGGGTACGCCCCGGGCCCAGCACGAGCACATCGGGCCCACCAATAACTACAGACCTAAGGTAGGGCAACCTAAAACCTATATTTGTGAAGGGTACACTCTTAAAAGTTCCGAGACAGATTTGACACGAAATCGGGGTCAGATTTGGCCTGTTACCTTTCAGTATCAAAAATTACTTAACTCCAGGTCAAAATTTATGTTTCCGGGTCAAAATGGCACTTCTCCAGATAGTTTTCTTGGTCATTTTGACCCGGATATCTCGGCAACAGTGTCATTTGACCCTGAAAGTTTTCAGGTCAAATCTGACGTCATGTGAAAATTAGACTCCGTGAAAATCGGACTCCTTTTCCTTTTTATTGGGTAAACCCTCTCACATGACTGGCCACCTATTTATCTTCACTTAGGCATGCGCAGCACTACTATCAATGAGTCCTCATTTCATAGAAACCTAACTTCACGCTACACCGGGTCAAATCTAACCCCAAACTTCTAAGATTGTACTGCCACTGATTCTGGCATTTCAGTTATTGCGTTGATATGAACGGAAGGATTACATTTGGTTCTATGGTATCCGCAAAAAAATCATCTGACGATGATTAATGTGGATGAAAATATCACTTGATCGTTATTATCAACCTGTAAGCATTAACATTAGTGACAATAAATGTCCGTACCGCCTGTATGTTTGTCAAAGTAAAGTGAATGTCTAATTTGTTACTACGCTATTTTGGCAACCTGTGTTTGAAAATTCTACAAGCAAAGTTTGGGACTAACATTCGTTGCCTGCTCCGAATTTGTTTTTCTCAGAAGTCGCGGTCCTAAATAACTGTTTGAAGATTACACGCCAAATTGAAATTTACATGTTGCAGAACCCCTAAAGATTTAGAACAGGAATAGTCGGAAATTCTGCCTGACAAGTGGCACGTGAAATGGCCAAAGCACCTTAGATTGTCGGGCTCTACAGCCTGTCTAAAAGAAAAAAGTACAATCGAAAACGATTTTTTTTTTCAATATTAAATCTCAACATAAGTAAGTCGTTTTGAGCATCACATTAAAGAAAAAAGACCAGGCTTTCCAATACTTTTTGTTTCATCTCAATTGCTTTTGTCAATCCAGAGATAACTCCAGCTTACTGCGGAACACAAAAATCGAGTTTGTTTCTTTTGCCAAGTTGCAATCTTTTGTGAGCTTCAAAACAGCATGGCACAGTACTCGAAACAACTCTGCCCATGCATAAAAGTGGCACAAAATCGATTGTGGTTTATCGCACTAAATTGATTATATCTCTGAATTGACAAAAGCAAATAAGATCAAACAAACACTATTGGAAAGCCCAGTCTTTGTTCTTTAATATTATGCGAAGTAAGAATGACTTATTTTGAAATTTCATATTTAACCAATTTTTTTTCTGATTGTACCATTTTTTTTTGAGACAGGCTGTATGTGATTCATATACGCAGGCTACTAACCAGAGAGTTAATGGGATTGTCTCATATTCCAAACTTAAACAATTACGACTGATATTATGTTTTATCTATCTTTATTCCCATCTTCATCAGACCATCACCTGCACAGAGCACACGCACGAGAGGGTGACGATGTACTGCGATGGATGTCAGAAACCCGTGTGCCACCGGTGCAAGTTCAGCGGTGCGCACGCTAAACACAAGCTGTCCATCATCGAAAGAAAGTACGCTGTCGTCAAGGTAAATCACAGATATCTGCCATACGAATTATCGTTTGGTTGCAAATCCAAAACATTATATTGAAATAAAATACACAACTGTTGGTTTTTTTGTTACATAAAGCTGTGTGTCTGTTTACCTATTTTAAATGTCTACATTGTATGTTCTTGTTTAACCGTTGCCTGGCATTTTCTCACAAACGAAATGTTTTCATTGATTTGTCTTACTTCATATTCCAGGAGAAAATGGAAAGCCACCTCTTGGCGATCAGAGGGAAGTGCGACGAACTAAAGAACGGCGTGGACACCCTCCGAGGGCTGTGCGGGAAAGTAGAGGTTAGAATGCGTCCCCAATCAACATATTGTGTTTAAATATATTAAGACCATGTATTTATCGCGCATCCCCCCTCTGGAAATAAAATTTGAGTGACGGAAAGGCTTGGGAATTCTGTCATACGAAGCACGCTGTATGCAATACAGATCCAGCGCTGAAGCTCCGCTTCAGGTAATACAAACAAGGATTGATGCATCTTCTTATCGAGTAAAATAACTCTAGGGTCTGCCCTATTTATAGGCCGACTTTAGTATAAAAGCAATGGCAGACGCGACATGACGTCATGCATCCATTAGGGCGTGGCGTAGACTGTCTTCTTTAGGTCTAATCTGGTACTTCCTGCGGCTGTCGGGCGATTCAATTGGGAAATGGTTATAGAACACAGCTATTGAATGAGCTCATATAGCAAGTTTAGGCTCACTATAATTCATGTTAATGTACCCTTTAAGGTGACATTTGGGTCATTAGTCACCGGACATTAAGGAGACATTTCAATGTCTCCCTAATTTTAAAACTCTTATTAAGAGGCAACATATTACCTTCCCAAATAGGCTAGATCGATTGCTCGTGATCCAGACATAAATACATGTATACAAACATTCATAGGGGTAGGATGAAGGACAATATTGGGGTTAAGTTTCATTTAAGTCGAAGAAAAATTGTGCACAACCTATGGAATATGGGTACCATTTCTCGTAATAATATTTTTAATACTTTTTTTTTTAATTACCACCAAACATAGTATCTGAATTACGATTGTGGCTGCTTCTGGTTTGATTCTGGTAGTAATGAAGTTATAACTATCGGGCCTGCATTTCCAATCGAAAGTTCGTTCGGTCAGCTGAAAGACGTCTGACTCAATGATTATGATGAAAGGACGCGGTGCTAAACTCACCATCGAAGTATTCCAGGCTCAGTATGAAATATCGGAAGTTTGGATCCCAAAAAGCCTTACCAATCGTCTTTACCAAAAGTACCCCTATATCGAAGTAAACACACCGATGCTAACATTTGAAAAAAAGTGATCAGAGCCACAGGACTGTTTCTTTAACAACGAAAGAAATCTCAGCGTTCTTGAGATCGTTAACAATTCAACATATTTCCGAAATACTTTGTACGTACTTCTACATAAACGTATAGGCTAGTATGGTGTAATATTGTTCAAACTTACGAGTGATACTTAATTTTTTGCATGGCGGAAGATGATCAATGAATGGGGGGGGGGGGTTGCGGTAATACCATGTGCATGATATCTCGATCTTTGTGAGTTGCGTGGTTCTGAGAAGAACCAGTTGGTTGAACTCGACGTTTCGAACAGTATGCGCCGTTCGTCATCAGGAGACAGCCAACTGGTTCTTCTCAGAACCACACAACTCACAAAGGGATACCATTCACATGGACAGTTCACGCAAACTTCCCAAAATCATCAAAATTATTAACATTATTCCATACATCAACGCACTTCTTGTAATGTCCTCGCAAAAAAAAACATTCTTTTTGTTTCAGGAAAATGGTGCCGTTGCCAAGGAGAAGCTGTCCCTGGCCCTGGCCCACCTCCAGACGACCCTGGAGCACCGCTCGAGCGCCCTCACGCAGGCCACTGAGGAGGAGATCAACCGTCGGGTAGTAGCCGTCCGGACGCAGCTGGACACGTACGAGGACATCTTGAAGGGTTGCAGCGTGGTGGACCTGGCCGTCGAGATGCTCAAGGAGACGGACAAGGCTTGCTTCGTCCAGGCGGCCAGGCCCATCCTTGGCCGGTGAGTTTCCACTTCCGAAGCTCCTCTAGGTTTTCCCAATGAATGTTCCGTCGAGCAGTGAAATACATGCAACTTGAATGTACGGAGTAATCATTTGCTCTATTGCACATATTTTTCGTTTGAAACAACAAAATTGTTCAAAACCTTAAGTAGGTTGTATAACACCTCATCTGTGGAAGTTTTGGCTGAGTATACGTATTGAGAAAACACTTAATGATCTCCAGAACGATATCGTTTCAGGCGAAATGATTTTAACCTACAATAAGGCCTACCGTGATTTTATAATAATAACTAAGGGAATAAATGTGTGCTTCGGAGGTTTTTATCACTCTGTTTAATACCACTTAGAGTCTGGGTGCTGATAATTACCCGAGCCGGAGGCGAGGGTAATTATCAGCACCCAGACTCTAAGTGGTATTAAACAGAGTGATAAATACCGACGGAGTACATATTTATTCCCATTCATAAATACCTTTTCGGTAAAAAAAAATCATATAATTCGTTCAAAACATCCCGATTTTGTTCAACAAATTCACTTTTTGCTTTTTGAATCATCCCTCCTGCAAAATAATGGAGTGTTCAGCTGGCGAGTAAGATGAAAACAACCCTTTTATGGAGATTGACGCGCGCGTATCATGTTCTATGCGATGTCGCGCAGAACGCACCTGGCGCGTTGAGTTTTGAATTTAGAACTATAAAATTCTAACTCCCTGGTAGTGTTGCGCATGCCTACGTGAGGATTGTGAACGTTCAACCAATGAAACGATAAGAGGCACTGGATTTTTAGGAGTCCACATTTTATTGTGACACTGGAAAAGTGTTTAAGACCAGCTAGCCATGTCTTTATCATCCGTTTAATACCGGCCACGTGACGGGCTCTTGACCAATAGGAATGGCTAAACTGTCTGAGGTATTTATGAATGTTGGTTAAAGAAACATCAAAATATATATCCACCGTTTTTAAACTACAAAGTGGAAGTTTGAAACGCACAGTAGTATTAACCCAGTACGATTTTTTGGTGTCTGGCTTGTAGGTTGAAAGAAACGGTGAATGTGATAAAGGAGGCGGAGCTTAGTCCAGTCCACGCCTACCACGACTTCAACAACTTGAACATCGATGATGGGTCTGCGGTAGACGCTCTGACGGGTCTGGATTTCGTGAAAGGTAATCTTAGATATGGAGCGCAGTCAAAACAAAAACGAACTCTCTGAAAACCTTAAAAACTACAATACCATCTCTTCTACAAACAAAAATTGTTGAACAAATCAAAAGTTCAAATCAATTTCGACAGGCATCTGGATAAAACCAGACGTGAATTCGGAGCAGTTTTATCTTATTTATTCATGCTAGTATTGATACGATTTGTGCTATTAGCAGCTATAGATATGACTCAACTAACTTACAAATTTGTAAACACACAGCCCCTGATGCCCCCGGCATCTCCACCAAGCGCTGTCAATCATACGACCACGTGATCGTCGAGTGGGACCCGCCCACCGTCGGGTCACCTGCCGAGACCTACACTGTGGAGTACCGTAAGCTCGCGGTCCGGGCGGAGGGTACCAGACCGCCCACGCCCACCACCCAGCGGAGGAGCGCCGTCAGCCCCCGGAGCGAGACGGCCGGCGAGGATCTGTGGACGTCAGTCCACGGAATCAGGCAATGCAGGTTTGTGTTAAAATTTTGTAATTTTAAATTTGTTTTCAAAAACTTGTAAACTGTCAAAATAAAGTAAACTTGTCAAATTTATCTCAATCGGGCTTCAAAATAAACACATATTTTGCTAAAATATTTGGCCAGAAATTGTCAAAAAAGTTTCATAAATATCATATTTACATAAAACTTCAGAAATAATACCTTAATTGTATTTGTTATGAAAATTGCTCGGCATACAAAACTCGAATTTCATGGATAACGTGTGTGCAACATTCGTTGGTAACTATCAAGTTAAAGGTCTGAAGTCGTGACTGTATTCAAGATTAAGTTTCAGCATATAAGATGGTTCCATAAGAGATGTGGGACATTTTTGGCATTAAAGTAATCCAAAGAAAAAGTTATGCCATTTTTGTAACTTTGTTTACAACTTGGTATTAGGTATCGCCTGAGTGACTTGGAAGTGGACAGCCGATATAAGATTAGAGTTCGAGGCGAGAACAGAGTAGGAAAAGGCGAATGCAGCAAGATCGTGATCATCAGAACCGTGCCTGCCCCCGGTAAGCTCACTTTTACTGTTGACATGAAAATATCGACAGATTTTTTTTTTCTATCAAGAATTTGCACTTCTAACTTTCACGTTTCGGAAAATTGAGCGTGCTTAACCTTAGAATGTGGGATACAAAATGAGGTTATGTTTACTTCAAGGTAATTGGGGAAGGGAAAGGGTTGTGTGGCCACATTCGAATGGAAACGGCGTGTCATTGTCTCAGAAACGTTAGTTGTACAAAAGGGCAAGCAAGGAAACCCGCTTCCTTGTGATAGTGCCTTGTTTTTGCTTACAGTAAACATGTTCCCTATCTTTTCTGCGCAGTACTGTCTTTCAAATGGATGTCCTGCCAGCCGAACGGAACCCAGGGTCCGTCCATCAGCAAAGATGGCCAGCGTATGACCCTCCGACCGAACCCGACCCTTCTCTCTCCCACCGGCGCCGGCCCCATGCCGTCCAGCCCTATCGCCCTAGCCCCCGCCTTCTGCCTGGGCGACCGGAAGCTCACCAACGGCAAGCACTACTGGGAGGTCACTGTCGACCAATCCCCGTGCGCCGTGCAGGTCGGGGTCATCGGGGAGCGGCGATCGCGCAGGCTCGGTGACCCCGTCAGCCACCATGCCGACGGGGACAGCGGGCACGACAGCTGCGAGGAGCTGGACGCGGACCACGGCGCGCGCGCGGCGGACGCTACGGCCCTGGTCACCTACCACGGAGGGAAGGTGTACTTCCCCAACGAAACCGCTAACAAGAGCGGCAAGAAGTCCGGAAACAGCGGCGGAAACGGAATCAAGCCGGCCACCCACACCCTGACGTCATGCGCAGTGGGCGTGTGCGCCGACGTCGAGAGAGGGCGGGTGTCATTCTTTGACGTGGACTCCAAGGAGAGTTTCTTCTCGGCCAGTGCGGGGCTGGAGGGCGCACTGTACCCGGCGATCGTCATCGTCGGTCCTGGGGTGGTAAAATCTCGTCAACTTGACGAAATGTGTGTGGAGTAAATTACCTTTATAAACGCAGTGGGCCATTTATCCGTGGTTCAAAGGAAATGACATGTTGAACTGTAGTAATTATTTTATAAAAGGCAGTTGTTGCGAAATAAAGGGTAAAACGAATTATGTTAAATTGTGTTGTTGGTAGGCCTAGTCAACTTAACCTGCACCAAGCAAGTAACCACGTACCTCACTTTCCCTTACTTTAGTTTAATATGAACACGTGATCTATTCAATGCACCGACGGCCACAAGGAGTGATTGCTGATATCACATGACACAAAGATGTCACATGATATCTTGTTTATGTTTGGCCCTGAAAATCCGCTCTATTACAATGTGTTCATCTTTAAATCTTCCCTTGCCACTTTCATAATCATTGTAGGTTTAGGACGAGGCTGAGTAAAAGAAAATGTACTTAAGAGGTGATAATTTGGATGAGGGGTTATTATTATTATTTATGATTTCTGGTAATAAGACCAGGGATTCCTCAGAAGTCACATCTCGACAAAAGGGTAAGAACTAAATATTCTATATTACATTTCGGAAATGCTCGGTGATTTATGTATCAAAGTCTTACTTTTCTTAATGTTGTAAAATATTCTGAAGGCCCATAGGATAAAATGTCAAGTGTATGCCAGAAATTAATCCGCACGTCGCTTGTTCATAAATTGCCAACGGTAAAATGTTAAAGTTGATACCATCACCGGATTTTAACCATAAGGTGTATTTTATTGTAAAATATAAATATATAGACAGCGGTAAAGGTATTCAAACGAGGCATTGTTTTCAAATAATCAAGGTAATAATTGAAATACCATGAAAAAATTGTTGACGAAAGATACAGTTAATTGGATGGGTTTAAGGCACATGTATGTCCTTTTTTGCATAAAAATAGTGTTAATTTGCGCTCGTAGCTCGACAGGTACAAAAAAGTTGAAGATGGGTATCTATCGTGTAAAACGTCTTCAATGAAATCATTGACGGTTTGAACGATTTCAAAAGAGAATGTCGTTTGAAGAAAGTTTGTCGTTTTACGGTAATTGGCTGCATGACTGTATCGGCATTATGTTCTTAATGGGAGACTTTTGTGGCTCTTAATTGGTGGCAGCAAACACACCGATCCTTTTCTGTTGTTTGCGTCTTTTTGAACATGTATGATTCGAACAGTGGGAGACTTTTGAGACGCTTGGGGGCGGCACACACAACGGTCCTTTTCAATGGTTTGCGTCATGTTTAAGCTAAGGACCATTGGTCGACTATTTTGTAACATACCTTACGCCTGCGCACTAATAGCAACGTGCGAACGTCTCTAGTCAAAACGCTGGTAAAAATGTCATCGCAAAACTTCTGGATCCTGGCGGCCCTGCTGTACGTTATGAATGCGCGCGGGTATTGGTTACCAGCGATGCAACCAGGCCCAGTACGTTGGTTTCAAATAGTCGAATAGCGTAGTCAACCATCGTCGACTAGACAGAGTTCGGGCTAACTTTAGTCGAACTATGGTTAACCAATGGTTAACAATAGTTCTTGCGCCAACTTGCCCTAATGTGCAAATGTTCGAAATGACTCACTGAAAAGGACCTGTGTATTTGCTGCCATCAATCATAAGTCTCCTATATAAGCTTACTTCTTTGGGTTTTTTTTAATCACAGTGTGCACGAGTAGGAAAATGTCGCCATTTTATGAAAATGTTTGTTTTGTGTGTATCTGGCAGCTGTACATTGTAAACTATAGTATATTGTGTGCTTCCAGGTGGAATAGGCTCAGTTTTATTTTGATTGAATGTAAACGTGTTTGTATTCATTGATGTTTTATTTAGAGTATAAATTTTGTTGTGTAAGGTTTGTTCGACTAAATGCAATGCATGCATGGGCGATAGTTTTTATAATACAAAAAGTGAGGAAATACAATTTTGGCAATAATCCTCTAAATTAGTTTGTAGTGGCTGCCTTTATGCGTCCGCATCGATCACCGCTATGCAATCGTTACGATTTTTATGCGTATTTTATTTTGAACTGGTTTATTCGTTTGTTTTAAATGTGCATAGACTATTACCACTCGCTGAAGAAGAACAGTTTTAGAAATGTTGAACTTGTGCAATCACCGGTGTATGATATTTAAAATAAAAAATGGTTTTCTTGTAACGATTGGTTTTAAAGATTTGGTTTTCTTTGGTGGTTGAGTCGTACATGTATATATATCTGATCAAACCAACTGAAGGAACGAAGACAAGTTTCAAGGAAAAAGCAATATTTTATTTCATCAATGTTTTATGCATTCATAATAAATTCAAATGTTTGATATTTAGTATGGATTTGCATTGTGATACTGTTAAATGTCACAGCTTCCTTGACGTCAACTGACGAGTTTAAGAATCGTATAACACAATGGCTCCTTCATGTTCATACTTTTACACAACATAAATATTTTACTAATTTACTACAACACAATTGATGAAACTTCCATGGTAGGTTTACTATTGTATTGGTCTTATGAATTACGTTGACTGCAATGTCAATATCTTCAATCTACTCAAAATTTCCGCGTCACATGAATCGCAATAATCTTTAAAAAGAATTCATTTATGTTATTTTTTCATACAAAAATAGAACGTATTTGAATAATTTACTTAACATTGTCATAACAAAGTTCCATGTGCAAAGGCTCGTTTGCTCAACAATAAACATTCAGACAAGAATATTTAGGCAAGAATCTTAACTACTGGTACAAACCAGTCCGGTTTTTTAAAATATTATTTGTGCTCATGCTAATTATACATAAAATAGGCAGTCATGCTCTCTTCTTTATTACTCACATGTTATCGGCATTCTTTCAACAAAAAGTATTTTTGTACCTTTCATAAAAAAAACCCATCAAACTAATTAAACAAATCACAAACTTAAGCACTGTTTTTTAAAGCGCAACCCTTGATAATTGGGAATGGCCCGTGCCATTCTTTTTTTTTTCTCATAAATCTACACTTTTGTTTGCGTATTTTAGTTCACGTCGTCAAACCTTTCCCCTCGTTTCCATCATCATTCATGGCCTCTGTTTTCATTGAAACTACCACTAACAGCCGCTCTTCCTTCTTCTCGGAAAGGGACTACATGGTGCTTATTCACGAGTCGGCCATTTTTGTCAAGTTCCCAGAATGTATTTAATTAATTGTTCACTGTTGAATGGGATGGCGCCAGACTATTTATGCAGGCACAATGCAGCCTTATTTTTACTGTCATTTTTTTTTAATATGGCTTTAAACAGTAGGGAAAGTTTAATTACAAATTTTAAATTATTCATTGAAGCAGACTGGAATTTATTATACATTAAGTTGCTTTCATTTCTCTTCGCAAGTTCCAACATTTAAGATGTTACCTAACTTTCAATTCAATATGGCCGACTCGTGAATAAGGCCCATTCACAGCCTCGAAGGACTATAATTTTCCGGCACAAATCCTATCCAAAATCTTCGACTTTTCAACTCAACCTCGTCTGTGTGATCACAGATCTGATTTGCACATTTCATTCCTTGTAAAGCACACACACCTGGGATGACATTCTTTTCTTTGTCTCGCCGTTCACAATCATGGCCCGGGTCCCAATAGTAGTTGACTTTGCCGTTTCGAAACAAACCCAGACATAGTGTCTTCCGGCCACTCGTCTGATGGTTAGTCTTGCTTCTAGCCGACAACTCCGACACTTGCCCTCTCTTCTCGTTTCTGATTCCATGTTCTATCAGCTGAAGTTGGTGATCTGATACCAAGCCACTCAGATTCGCTCTCATCTTAGAATATGTTGGTACCCGGCGAGCTTGAAGTGTCATTACTGGTCCGTCGCGAACTCCTCCTCCCGAAAGTTGGCATGTTGCTAGGCGACGGTGATGTCTCTCCAAACAGCCAATCCATATCGGTGGATCGAGACGTTGAGGGCGGGCTCTCTCGCTCTGGGATTGCTTTCTTTCCGCCAGTGCTTGTGTTTCCCCGACTCGACTGGTCACGTGAGAGAATCGTTTCTCCTGGCTTTTGCTCCTTCTCTGTGGTGAAATCATGATCATCACCAATCGGTGATTGCCTTCTTTCAGGGCGAGGCTTCAACCTAGTTCCTCCAGTAAGCCAGAGTGAAACATCTCCCTTTATTTTCATGGTTGGGACTTCAGGTTTTGTATTAGATGATATTGTTTCAGACGGAATGCTATCAGACAACGCTGATATCCGTCCAAACGAGGGTCTCTTTGCGGAATTCTCCGCAGGAACATCGTCAATGTCTGAATAAGTGTACGCCTCTGTTTGCTGCTGATGGACCTGAGGCTGAGGAATTCTTCTCGGGCCGTGCAGATGAAGGACCACCAAAAAGATCGTCAAACCAGTCGGAGGACTTGTCGACTTTGTTACCTGGACTGCTCGGTCTGGTAGCTGTCACTGAAGCTTTTGGCGAGGAAACTTGAGTCTCGTGATAGTCCGTGAAAAAGCTGTCCAACGCCTGTGTCGGCTTTGATGGCCTTCGTCTAGAGGGTGCTTTGGTGGAACTCTCCGGCTGCGCCTCGGGAAAAATATCCTCTTCAATTACAGTCTGATCAATTTTCCCTCTTCTGCATCCTACGGTTGGTCTGTCTTTTGCATCATTTGAGAAAAGGAAGTCATCGTTGCCGGCTTCCCGTCTTGGAGAACTCAAAGACGTTGTCGGTCTGTGTCTCGACGTTGGTCTGTGTGAACTTACTGTTTCATCTCTCTTAACAGGGGGTGTGTAGAGCGACTTACTCGAAATCGATGAATTTCCAAGAAGCCATTCCAGGATGCCATCATCTTCCTTCTGTGTTTCTGTAGCAGCATCTCGGGGCTTCGCAGACTTGAATTCACCTACTCCCTGTTTCTCTCTTTCCGATGAGACACCAACCTTGAGTTTGCCCTCTTGGAAGCGACGTTTTCCAAATCTCGGCTCAGAAGGCTTAGAAGCTTCGGAAGACAGGTCTTTGTCTACTCTTTCTAAACTTGTGTTTTCCTTTGATTTTGCTGATGAGAAGTTCAAGAGCCAGTCGGGTTTAGAGTCTTTTGTGTCCACCTTCTGTGCTTGAGACACGGCAGTATTGGCTTCTCTGTTGTCCAGTGCCGAGGTAATTTCTTCACCGATATGAAGGTGATTTGCCGAGTGATACTGAGGGGACGTATCAAACATGGTAACCACTGAGTCAGTGAGGGAATCTTTGTCACGTCTTACTGAAGGGCTTGTTGGATTTTCCACATTCAGAACTGATAAACACTTCCCACTGAAGCTGACAAGCGTCTCTGGTTGTTCACTGACATCACCTGCCTTGAATTCCTGGGCTTCCTCTGCCTTCACTGGTGCTTCACATTCGCCAGATATTCGGTCATCTTCGACCGTAGAAACTTGCAGGCTTGGTGGAACTTCTTTTCTAAGTTGTTCCCTTGGTGATACAAGACTCGTACTCTTCCCCAAACTGAGATCATTATTCTCGACTGGTCCATGCGATAGGGATGAGAACCTACCACCGCTAGGTTTTGGTGGTGACGTAGACCCCTCGAACCAATCAAAAACGTCATCGTCGACGTCGCTAATAATCGTTGGCTCTGTCGGTGGAGGGATGAGTGCAGCTGGCTCTTCTTTGACTGGAGAGGGCGTTGCATCTGGCGCTTTAACATGCAGGCCCAGATCGAACGCAAACTCATCATCTGATGTCGGTTCATTGTCTTCGGACGGGATGTTGCTGAGATCCTCATTTGGCTCCGCTGTCTCCTCGTCTTTGGCCGTCAACTTTTCCTGTTTGGTCTCACCCGGTCGGCTTTTATCTCCGTCATTGGTGGTGAGCTCAATAGCAGTTTCTTGAAACGTATTCTCAGAACTGTGTTTCTGCATTTTAGCCGTCTGTTTTCTGCCAACATTAGACAGCCAATCGCGGACATCTTCGACATCGTCGTGTTCAATTTCTCCTCCTGCATCTATTTCCTTTACTGCCTTTGCCTTTGTGTCACCGGGGAGGTCTATACATCCATCCTCTACCCAACAGGTGACTGGAGCGGTGAGAAGTTCCTCAGATACACCTTCTCTCGGGCCCTCCGTAAGTTGCTGATCAGGCAAACTGGTTCCATCGTCCGTGATTGTCGAGACGGGTGGAAGGATGTCAACAAGGCGAAGCTTCTGTTGCTTTTCTTTCCCTTTGGACAAATTCGTTTGACCAACCTCAGAGTCCATTATGTCTTCAGTTGTCGTTGTGGTATTATTTTTCATTTCAGATGCCACAGAAGGAACTCCAGATAATGCAGAACTGTCAGGAATGTTGCCAGAAGGCTCGGGGTGCTTCCCCTGTATCGGAGGAACATCGACCGGCGAGGATTCCTCTTGAGGGTCGGTAACTGTAGTGGATCCTTTCCCCTTCTCCTTGGAAGCATCAGCTACAGGTGAGGGATCCTCCCCGTCCTTCGCTTCTCCTGCCTCCTGTACGACCTTCACCCTCTTGAGGATCACCGTGTAAGACTCGTCACACTCGAGAGGAATGAAGGGGATGGTCAGGGACCTTCCCGTTGGCGGTCCTGTCGGCTGTGATGAGGCAGCAACTGCTGTCTCCTTGGTTTCTTCGTCTCTGCTGACATCAAGGGAGCAGCTTTCGTCTTCGCAAGACTTTTGTCCCAGGCATGCCTTTTTGTGATGGCGATTAGGTTTAGTTCGAACTGTAAAAGTAAAACAAAAACAAGGAAATAAGTACCATGAAGTCAATTGTTCTTATGGGATATTTCTTACGTCTCCACTAGACTGTTGAGTGCTAATTTCGATCTGTTTTGATTTTGGTAAAAATATATTATCATTGCTGCATAGATCGGCCTGTGATTCTACAAAATAATACTGGAACAAAGAAAGAAAAGAAATGTATGGTGAATTTTCTTTCAATTAAATGTGACGTTAAAGGATTTTAAGACGAACACTGTTCAGTGTTATTATAATCTTTATGTGCATTTGCTTTAATTTAAATACATCTGTTGGACATAGGCCTAAATCGTTACCACAAAATTGCGAAACATCTTTAAAAAATTGATTATGAGTAAAAAAGAAAAAGCCCAGTTTTTTTCGGGAGGCATAGCATGCCCGAGTATCGAAGTCAGTTTATGGTTGCCTGTGTCTCTTTGCAATGAGCATAAACCTCATTAGACTCACCCGTTTGTCGAGTTGGCTCCTCAGACTCGCTCGTGCCGGAACAATAGTCATTACGACATTTCAACTTGGGACATCCCGATTTAGTCATCCCCTCGTGGCACGATCTGCCCAAGTTGCTTCTAGTTGCAAGAACATCAAATCCCTGTAGGTTGCCTCTCTCTGCTTCTGCCGAAGGCTGCTGTTGCCTCTTCCGCCGGACCAGCGTCTTGCCCCAGGCCTGGTGAGCAGCGCGGCCGGTGTGGTAGTCCACGCCGTCAACGCGACTGTTTGCTCGGTCCAACTCTTGCCGAGTGATGACCGCTCTCTGTCTGGCTCTCTCCGCCGCCTCGCGGCAGTGTCGGGCTCTAGAAGTGCTGTGAAAGCTCTGCGCCCGTTTATGGATGGCGAATGATTCATCCTCGTCGGTGGATGAGTACTGGCTGTCGTCATCAGCTGAATTTGGCCTCTGAGGATATAACCCATCAGGCAAAACTTTGTTTTTAATAGTATCCTTAAAGTTAAGCTCTTAATCCATGAGAGTATGGCGTCATGACAACAGGTGGAAACTATTTCACCAGAAATATTTTGATGATCAGAATCATGCCATTCATGATGATAAGGTCATGCCATTACTTTTAACCTCTTTTATTTCAAAAGCAACAAATATTGTGAAAAAAATTAATTAAATGTGCTTTTTAACCGAATTATTTAAAAATTTAAAAGTGCCATGATCGCCAGAAGCCCCCAGATATTTTTTTGAAATGACTTTCCTCACATTTTGGCATTTTTAATTCTTGTTGCTAACATAATTTATGCCCCCCCCCCCCCCCAATCTCGTCCCCAATCAACATGAATTATACGATGTGCCCACTTACTTCTCCATATTTACGTCTGGTTAGCTGGTATCTCTGAGGCACGCGGACGGTGGAACTACGCATACATTTCCCGTCGTCAACCTGAGCACGTCCAGCTGATGGTTGCTTTGTTTCAGCCTCGTACTTTGTTGGTACGGACTCCATCACTGAGTCGTTGTAATTCACCGTCATTTGGACACGGCGTAGCTGGTCTTGTCGCCTGACCTGGGCCGCCTCGCTCGGGTAGAGAACAACTCTCCGTCTAACCGTATTGGTATTCCGTGTCTTCGGCACAGTCGGTTTCCTCGGCATGAATTTCAGGGAGTCCTGATCAAGCCAGCCGATCTTCTCGTCGACGAATCGAACTCGTTTGACAACCTTTGTGTCCTCTGTCGTCTCCTGCTCAACTGAGACTCTAGATGTCGCACTTTTCTTTGGGATCGTGCAATCGGTGTGTGGAACCTCCGGTGTGGCGTCATCATCTGACACGCCGGGTTTGGCTCCTGACTCGCTGGCTTGGATTGACCGGCAACGTCCGGGGGTGATGTAACTGGGTCGCGGCAGTGCTGCTTTATCGTTGATTCCCCGGGCCGGGCCGTTGAAGGGTATTATTTCAACCTCCTCTCTCCTCTCCATCTTCCGGAGGTATTTCAGGACGGTCCTGCAATCAGTCTTATCTTCAAGAAAGTGAACTATTTCGTCACTCGCTCCGAAAGGGTCTTCCAAGTTCAACGGGGACATCGTTAGTCTGCTTTTGCTCGTCTTTCCGCGTTTTAAAGCAGTTTGTATCTGCTGTTTTCCACCATCTGCTGCTTCCGAGCCTTTTGGTTTGGCTGTGCCAATTTTCCCGCCATTTTTCCTGACGGGTTTGAGTTCTTTCTCAAGGGGGCCAGTCCTGCTGGTTGAGACTGGTTTCGACCGGTTCCTGCTGCCTCGCACCGGCCGGATCCGGAAGGAGGAACTGCTGTCCTCTCTCGGGATTTGAATACGAGGTGATGAAATATCATCCTCGATAAAACGTTGCCAACTGTGGCGCTCTGTGGAAAAAGCAGGAAAAGCATTGAAAAACCAACTGTCACGAAAGCAACGTCAAAGCGACAGTCATCAAAAACACCTTCCTTGCATAGAGTAGACAATTCAAATGGAGTTTCTTAGCTCATCTTTCATCTGACAAAATTAAGGAAAACAAAGGTTGCCGGGTCGAATTGGGGGAACCTAAACAAGTTTTGCTACTATCATTTTGAACAAGTTGGGCAAAAGCAACACTTGAGACAAGAATAAGAAAACTTTTTACTTACCCTTGCCAGACATGCAATTCACTGTTTCTGAAACACTCTAAATCCTCAGAAAAGGGATTTTTTTTAAAATTGTTCAAACACAAGAAGCCTTAGTGGTAAATTTTACATCAAAAAGATCGCAACATTTTCGCTCAGTGAAAATTCGATACGTGTGTTGAATTTCAACGAAATATGATTTCTGAGCGGACTCCGGAAATCCAACAAGAAACAAACATTCGATACCATAGAAAAGGTTTTAGGCGGGTCTTCGTTGTGACGTAATAATTGTATTGGTGTGTGACGAGCTGAACGCGTGCGCACATACCTCGAGTGCAGTGTACGCGCGCGTAGTATGCCACGCGTCTTTTATAGGACGGCGCCCTCTATTATTATGACTGTCTGGAATTTTTTGTGACCGTGTGGGCCTTACGGGCCTGGGGCAGGGGTCCACAACAACTGAAACATATTTATGGAATCATAGGATCATTTGATTTTCCAATAATAACACCACTCAAAATCCAAAATGACAGCAGGCCTGACGGAATAATTTCACGCATGCATTGAACATGTAACAGCTACGATATTTAATTCCAAAAAAATGTGCTTTTGATAATAATTCAGTAGGTTACTTGTGGGATCTAAATGCAAATGATAATGCCTTGAACTCCGCGAGCGAGAGCATACAATTATTATTAGCATAGGTGGCGCTGCACCAACCTCGTCCCCAGTGCTTACTTTATTTCCAACCGCGTTTCCAATAGTAAACCTTGGATAGGAAACTTTCTTCCTGTATCCTGATTGGATACCGCAATTGGCTAGTAATGAATTTTTATCGTGTACTTGGTGCTATATATTCACAACGTGCACTACGTGTTTTCGCGATCATTCGTCCACGCCTTATCGAAAATACTAATTTCCTTTCCAATTTGCTCATATTAAATATGAAATATGATACTGCATGTTGTCTCGATAAGATCGTAACAGTTTGATTTCAAGAATTGTGTTTTCGTAACTCACGCCGTGCTCGCGCTGCTACGAATTGACTCTGTTTTTACCCCAGACACCCCATACAAAAACAAACGCTAATGTGTAACGCATATCCAGGCACCAGACTGTTCCTCATTTGCATACGTGTGCAAAAATCTTGCACATGCAAATGATCCAATGTGAGAGAGCAGGTAGTGGTGGGCGCGTACTGCTCGACGCCCTGGGGACGAGGTTGGCGCTGCACAGCACTGCTGGTGGATTAGATTTTGTGTTTAGGGTACCGTGGTGCGCATGCAAGAGGTGGGGCCGGGGGAGGGGGGGGGGGACTGGGCGCGACACGTGTCCTGTATGTAAGATTCAGTGGAGCTCCATTCCCGTACGACTTGTAGGCCTCTTCGGGGTTTGGGAATGAGATGTGGGACATCAAGCGCTCCTCTACCATCCCGTACCTTCGCGATTATTTTAGGGAAATAATGCGTAGGCCCTACTATCGGACGACTCACGGCCGATGGTCGGGGTGTAAACCATGCATCCTGCCTCCCAACTGCTGACCAATGTTAATTATTTACTTAATGGATAGTTGGATACAAAATACCAAAGTTCCCCCACGTCCCTAAATATTTCATCTGTCAATACTGCAAATCTGCAAGTTTGTTGTTTTTGGTCTTTTTATGCGTTGACTCATGGAGGAATAAAAATTCCTGTTTGACTGAGACGCCTTCTCCACCACCGCCCCGTGAAAAATCTGGGCCTGGCTCAAACATCCAAGCCCCCCCCCCCCCCCTTTCGTGTATCCGCCGCTCCGCTATCATTTTACGCGCCCCTTGAACAGCCGCCAGGTATTACGTGATTTTTGATAATAACGTGATGTGAAGGGACATATCCGGGTTTAAAGTTCACTTCTTGATAAGAAAACGACTCAAACAAGTTTAACATTTTCACTTGAACCCGGAAGTTTGTATTAACTGGTGCCCGCTTCCCCTGTCAACAGTAGATTCACGTTGAATTTGCTTCTGGGGCCCAGCGAATTAATCATGAGAAAATAGACTGGTTTCCTAAACGGCACCCAGTGGATTTCGAATAGGGTTTGAAGCGGGAATGTGACCCGTATGTCCACGTACGGAGAAAACTGTGAGAAACTGACAGTGAAATGTTGCCTACTGAACCGTAAAAACTGAAATGGGTGCAACGCGGTTATATTCTTCTTTTGTCATGTCACAAACCGGGTTTCAGTCAAGCCCGTAAATATTCCTAATCAATGAAGTAACTTGGACAGTCTTTCAGAATCCAGTGTCACCTTTATTTAAAAAACCAAGGTAAGCATGATTTTATGATAAAAAAATCATTTTAAAATGTGCACAGACAATGATAGCCCCATAAATGTGGCCTATTTACTGGACTGACTCCGTAAACATAGGCCACACATCCACATGTACAAAAATCGTGTCGACGGAGCCAAATTTTGATTTTCACATTTAGGCTTAGTTTGTAGGTTTTTTTTGCTTTAGAAGCATACTCACCCTCTTAACAGGCTAATCAGAAAGTGCTGCCTTTTTCAGATGTCTAATTTTTGTGAAATTTCATGTTGAAATTTTGATAAGCAAACGTGTAAAAATGAATCTGGAAATTTCACGAAAAATATACATCTGAAAAAGGCAGCACTTTCTGATTAGCCTATAAAGAGGGTGAGTATGCTTCTAAAGCAAAAAAAACCTACAAACTAAGCCTAAATGTGAAAATCAAAATTTGGCTCCGTCGACACGATTTTTGTACATGTGGATGTGTGGCCTATGTTTACGGAGGCAGTCCAGTAAATAGGCCACATTTATGGGGCTAAGACAATGACAGACATTGACAGACTCAGTCAGACGTCAGTCAGACTCAGTCAGTCTACCCATAGGCCTAGTACTATGCTATATTAAATTATGGCAGTGGATATTTTGCCGGAGACGGCGGAAAAAAATCCATACTGGATCACCACCTTTTTTCCAAGCACCAAAAGTTGCATCCTTTATGGTTATTCCCTCCACTTTCCCTCCTCTAGCGACTCTCACCCTCTCCTTTCCTTTATTTCTATATCATTATCAGTCACTTATTTCATCGAGATTCGAACCTCGGACTCTTGCTTGAAACACGAGACTATTAATAGGCATAGCACACAAAAAATTATTTATTGTGGCTGTGCAATATGTATCTGTATGCTACTGCACAATCGCCTATGGTGGGGCTATCACGTGACGGGTCTACAAGTACAAGCCCAATATGTAAACAGACAGTGCCAATTGAAAGAGCTATGTGAAAGATGAATACTTATATTTGTTTTTTGAAAATCGGTCAATGCATTCCAGAGTTATGGTAAATTAAAGTTCACCAAAATTAGCGAAATCCTGCCAAAAATGGAATAAAAGCCCCAAAAAGGAGTTTTTAAAAATTTTAACCAGCACTTTCAATATGTAGATTACTTCAAATAGTATTTCAAACACAGTATTTAGCAAAATGGCCACCTGGAAATGTACTACATCAAAAACCGAATGTATATAATTTTGTATGGTCTCAGACCGTCAAAAGTGCCCGTTTTCCCAATTTCAAGAATGGAAACACTGGAAATGGTGCAAAAACGACTAAGTCCACCTCATTAATATGCGTAAACACTATAACTTTAGTTCTAAGTGGTCTATTGTGATGAAATTTGGTATGTAGGCTTTCTCTATCATGACGGGTCTACAAGCCCAATATGAAGTAAATACCTCCATAATTATGCAAATTAGCTTTGTGCAGCTAATTAATATGCGTAAACGTTATATCTTCATTTCCGAGTACCCTATTCTGATGAAAAATATATGCAAGCTATGTGTTTGAATATTGGAACAATTATTTAGAGAAAAGAAGTGATTTACATCATTAAGCAAATTGTTTAATATATTTAATGATGCCTTCATTATGTAAATATGTATGTAGTAATTAAAATCAGTCCGGCTCATTAAAATTACAAACCTAATCCAAAACAGAACCTTGCTTGTTTTATCTTTTGTATTGCCTCTTTACATTTTGTTATATAAATCACAGTTTCAAGAAATAAAAAGAACACAAATATTTGTTTACATGATTTCTCAACCGTGGGTAAATTGTTTATTTCACAATACATTACAAAAAATTACTGTCATAAAATCCATTCAGTTAGTCCAAGGAGTAAGTGCGCAAATAACAACAGCCACAGTTTAGCCAAAATGCATGTGCTGTTTGCTGCGCAGATTTCACGACACTGAATCAATCCAACACAACCGCATACCGCACAAACAGAACGCCCCTCGCATGAAACAGTCGTAGATAAGAGCGCCCACACACAACGCGGTGCGCGCACGTGCAATGCTCAACCAATGCTGCTACATTCATGCTTCATGCCTCCCTTCACACGGCTCAACTCTGACCGTGTTTTTCAAGGATTTGTTTGGCCTTTTTTAGTCACCTAAAATGTACCGTTTTAAGAATAAATAGAATTCAATCTTCTCCACGAAAGTCACCAAGCACTTCTTTTTCTTACCAGGGCATTTGTAATCATAAACTAGTTCAGAAACTTGGCCAGCAATCGCTCAAGTAGATGCGAGAATCTCGCCGCGACATCGACAGCGTCATCCGTATACACACCGTTTGGTCACGCTTCTTGTCATTTTCAAAACTGACGCAAGGAAAAACTCGCTGTATTTTTTCTCAAATGGACAGGACTTCCACTCAAGTATTTGATGATATGTAAGGATGAGGTGATAGAGCAACTTCTCCACAATTGTGCGGTGCTTCTTTCTTCTCGAAATTGTGGAAACTTCAATTTTTACGGGAGGGTTTTCTTTGCACAAAATCTACGCTTCAAACTTTCGAAACTGACGGGTAAGCTCCAAGAAAGAAGTGTGATGATAATGTCAAAGGTCATGTCTACCATATTTGGAAGTTTCATGCTCAAACAAGGAGCGGAAGGCCTGTCCAAGACCATTTCAAAATAGGGGGTTTTGCGCTTCGTTTCTGAGCTGCGCGCGAAGGGAATAAAAGATCCTGCGTGACTGTAGCGCGTAATGATGGTGTATTTTATAAGTTCGATTATTGTCGCTGCATTTTATTTATTATGTACTTTAAAAATAAACAAATATAAAAGAAATGACACACTATTCACACAAGAAAAAATAATCTTGATTGGTTTATTGACTCTAAAATGAGACGATCTTGAAAAGTGCACTACATCATATGTCGCGGTCACTACGTGCGTACGGCAGACTGTATGTTGGGCCAGAGTGCTATGCCTACACCGCTAGGCCGCGCACGATCGCTGTTGCAACAATCAATCTTTGGACGTATTTGAAGTAGCCGTTGAAATAAACTAAATATTCATGAGAAAATAAATATTCATAATGACGTATTGCACTATCATTGGCCGGCTCATGCGACGTCATGGTTGTCGATGTCATGCGTATAACGTACTGCTGTTGACCCCGGCTGCTTCAACTTAGTTCTGCACGATGTGTGCATCCAAAATGTGCTCTAAAAACACATTTTGCCTAATTTTTTTCGCATTTACACAGCTTCCTGGATTCCTCTTGGGTGAAATCAAAAGGTGAGATGAAAATTAATATGTTTGGCGGCAGATAAAGTGGCGATCGAGTATGGACATTTTTCCATCAGCAAATGAGCGTGACATTTTGCTCTACGCAAACAGCGCAACGCGTGTGCGTATCCGCTGCAGTTGATGAACCGTGACGTTTTTAAACCGTATTGTAAAGACTAAAAGGCGAACACTTTATGCAGGGATGCAACTTTTCCTCGGATCCGTTGATTTCCTCGTTTTTTACGTCTCATGAATACCATTACAAATTGAAAAACACTGTGTGGTTGGGAATTTCCTTGTTTTTTCTAAATTCCCAGTTGCATGCCTGTTTATGGCTGGAATCACAACTAGCATGAACAGCCGGACTTTTTGGGGTTGCAAAAGTGGATCCTGAAAGTTGTTCTCGCACGTATAACACAAGAACCACACAAAAAAAGCCCACTTTTTAAAGGATAGTTGTGTCGATGTTTATATCCTACTTTTAAATGTTTTTTTCCCATTAGCAGCATTTTGTTCAAAACACATTTTGTAGCCCAATTGGGCTCATTCCTGGATGCAGTGTTCCTTTAAGCATGTTATTGAGGGCCTGATTTTCAGGTCAATCCAGTCAGTAAACAGTTTGCAACTCTTTAATTCGTTTTCATGTTCTATACAATTATGTAAAGACTCCCTGTTAGCCTTTTGACAATGGTTGAATCTAAGATACATTGTACATGTACATGTATGGAGCAAACAGAAAAAGGTAACTATTTGGTTTTGGGTACATTTGGGTGAAGACACATGGGCTCCATCCAAATTGCAAAGCTTCCTTCTTCTGTGTCCTTCATATGTATGTCAAAAATAGTACTTTGTGCCAATGTAGTAAGAGTATTGTCACTGTCATGACTGTTGTAATCTTAACCCTAAAGGGGCCGGGTTAATTTGACCATCTCTCAGCCGGGGGGGGGGGGGGGGGGGGGGGGGGGGGATTCCGCCCCCCCCCCTAAGATCTCGGCCATCGGGTGATGAAAAATTTTGAAACTCAGCACATGCATAGAGCAACTCTTCCTAAACATGCCCAAGAAATTTCATGACTATAGGTCAAAGGGTTTTGGAATTATGGCTAATTAATTATTCATATGTATGAATGGCAATTCTGCTCGGTGTACACGACGTATATGCAAAAATTCAGTTTTCACGGCGCGTAGCGCCGGAAAATTTTTCGCTACGGGCCAACCCGTGGTCCGATTTTTATGTTTTTGGTATCAAAAGATGCGCAAAGCTAGAGGCTAAAAAGTCATAACAGCTCGTGTCGCGAAAAAAAATTTTTTAGAAGCTATCGCGGAAAATGTTGAGGGGGGGGCGGATTCCGCCCCCCCCGGCCCCTTTAGGGTTAAGGTATGGGAATTGAAATATACATACATGTAGGCCCTACATGCTCATACATTGTAATTCCTAACAAACTTTGTCCAATTTTTTGGTCTGTTTCCACAAGGTTCTACGACATGGCCAGCATAGCCAATAAGTTGTCTGTAGGTGGGCTGTAATTTCTCCCAGTTTGTGCATCCAACAGACATGTAGAGCACACATTTATGTACATGTACATCCTTGTACAAAGAAGCATTGAGGAGGAAATAAGCAAATTTCAGGGTACTGAAAAATGAACCAACATACTAAGTACTGTACATTGTAGGTTTCCACTGTAGTTTGGTGAATTACAATTGCTTTTCTTGGGCCCTTGGTGTAAGGCAAAACAAAAAAATAAGTCGGTCTCTGGTCAGCGCGCGCGTCGATTTTAATCATGCGCGTTGATCTTTTTTTTTTCCAAAATGTTCCGCGGTAGCTCCAACAGCGCCCTCTATTTCCGCACCTCCTCAATTTTTTTTACCAAAGAGCACCAAGGAATGGGAAATTGCACCAAGGCAAATGATCGAAAGCACCAAGGCAAATGATGGAGGACACCAATGTATAATGAGGACTCAAAAGAGCAAAATAGTACCCACCTTGTCTGTACAATAGGCCCTACAAGCTTGAAAAGAAAAAAAAAGCCACCAAAAAACCCAAAAAAAACGCGTCGCCGCATCAATTCCGGAACTTCGGTCTGACCAGAGACCGACTATTTTTTTGTGTGGCCTAACCATCATTTTTTCCCCAACAGCATCCATTATGACAGTGGACATCTGGTTCGTTATCATTGCTGCCTGGCCCTATATTAAGAGTCGTTTCAGCCACACCATTGATTTCCAATGAGCTCATGTTCTCTAATTAAGTGAACCTTGCAGGTCCAATGCAGTGTGATTTTTTTAATGCAGTCCTTGACAATGCTCCTTTGTGTCCCGTTTAACTGTATTTTCAATTTTTGTTTGCCATTTTGAAGGGTAATTTGGTGCCTTTTTGTTTTTTTATGCTAAGGCCAAAAAAAGAAATAGTTCTGTTTCCAATTACATGGCATTTGAAAATAGGGTAGGTAGGTAGGGAAATAATAATTTTGTTGCCAATTTTTTTTTGTGGACGATCATATGGAGGCGTCTGCGTGTAGTCAAGGGTAAAAGGTAGAATTTGATGGTTTTGGGTGTTTTTTCTCATTTTTCCCATAACAAAAAATTAGGGTAGGGGCTGTCAGAATAGGGAAGTAGGGAAACCGGAATCAGAACTATTAATGGTTTTGGCCTAATGCAAATTTTCATATTTTCATGAGCAAAATTGTCATTTCAGGCAGAAAACTCAATGTTACAGCTGTATTAGCACAAAATAGTTTCCAGAATTTTGGATATTTTGCTGTCATACGTTTTCTATTATTTGGTGGTTCGTTGGTCGTGCATGGCAGTAAGCCAATGAGCAAACCTTTTTTTCACAAATGTTTTCAATGAGCAAATTGTTGGGTTCACAATTTGAACAGAAAACCCCTAAACTGAACAGCGTCTTTCTGAAATGACATCGCAGCCACAGCGCATATACTTCTCCAAAATGCATGGACAATTTTGAAAGGGTTAACCCTAACCTTTCCAGATCCTCTTTGCAAAAAGGAGGATTTGGCAGGATTGAGGCTATATGGCAAAAGTGTGTGGCTGATTTCGGTGTATGTTCTGTGTCAAGGTCTTGGGCCAGACCTTGTGTTGTTTATGCTCAGCCGTGCATAAATTTAGGCCTAGATTAGACTTGAAATCCTCCGCAGTGCTCCAGGATGTCACTGGCTCTGCCTCAACATATTGACAGTGATTGCCGGAGGATTGAGCCGATGGTCACCCCACCAAGGACCACATTCAGGAAATAACGTAGGATTTTGCAGGATTGAGGCTGTATGCTACATTGCTATTTTCACATGGATGCAGTTGGAGGATTTTGCAGGATTGAGGTTGCATCCTAGCAAAATTGCCTAGGGAGACAAGTTCACTTTTCAATAAAATTAACCAAAAATGGATGTCAAATAGTTTTCATAAAGAGGAGTAGAAAGTTGCACAAAATATATTTCCAAGTAAAACTCACGTCATGAGCCATTTCAGCTTGTGCTTAAATGTATTAATTTGCTAACATTTTATGTTGGGTAAAAAAACCTTTTACACATGTACGTGTACAATTCAGCGCTGATCAGATATCCTGAATTTTTGTATCGTATTGAAAACATAAACATGGACTATAAGTCCCAATGTCCTTTGAATTTCCTGGTTTGGGGTTTATTGCGGCGGGATGAGTCATTTATGTCTTTCTCTCTTTTCACACCTGTGACAACAAAGTTGCCGCAGCCATTTCTTGGGATTTTATTTCCTGCTATAAATTCACAAACAAGTCTAGCAACGCTGTCCTCCAGTGGTGGGGGGGGGGGGGTATCATTACCTCATTTTAATAAGGCCAAAAAAAAAAATATTCGGTCTCTGGTCAGACCAAAGTTCCGGAATTGATGCGGCGACGCGGCTTTTTTTTTTTTTTTCAAGCTTGGATTGTACAGACAAGGTGGGGTACTATTTTGCTTTTTTTGGTGTCCTCATGTACACTGGTGTCCTCCATAATTTGCCTTGGTGCTCTCGATCATTTGCCTTGGTGCAATTTCCCATTCCTTGGTGCTCTTTGGTAAAATAAATTGAGGAGGTGCGGCAATAGAGGGTGCTGTTGGAGCTACCGCGGAACATTTTGGAAAAAAAAAATTTGACGTGCATGATTAAAATCGACGCACGCGCTGACCAGAGACCGACTTATTATTTTTTTTTGCCTAACACTGAACATTTTCTGACCTGTGCGGATATAGCAGATATATTTGCAAGGTTTTTTTTTTAAGTGTTGAGGGTCAGAACTGCACAAAAGGGTTGCCAACCATAACTGCCCATTATTGCCAGTTGGGCCATAGATGATGCCGTCAATGGGAGCCGATGGTTGGAAATAACAATAATTGTGTTCTTCTGGATTAATCTAAAAACAACTTTATAAGTGAAGTGAATTTGTAGTTTTTGAACAAGTTAAGTGTTCAGCTGTTATTTTGTGTATTTGTAGGTTTTTGTCTTTTTTTTTTTTTTTTTGCAATCACCTCACTTCAATCTCTGATGCAAAAAGAGATATATTTTAAAAGTCATTTCATAAGTATCGTTTTGGTTTGTGGTAACACCATGTGGTAATAACTACTGCTTAGAAGATATTAGAACTAATATCTTCTAAGCAGTAGTTATTACCACATGGTGTTACCGCAAACCAAAACGATACCGATACCCCACCATGCAAAGCCTCAAATCTTATATCATTTCATAAGTGTAACTGAGCTTTCAGTGTAACCTGAGAAATTTTTGGGAGTTAATCTTTTTATGAAGATTCTGGAAGAATTGACCTATCGCGGTACAATCGTGTTAGAACGTGTCTTGTGAAATAGTATCCAATTACATGATTTACAAATAGACGCAGAATGAATCTAGGGTTGTCTAAGGGGGCATGGCTGTTCTCGCAAACGGCGATAGGTCAATTGGGTCACGTTATATTGAATAAATTTGGCTTTTTTGCCATGATCAAAATGTTGGACTCTCTGTAACCTTTGTATAAATTACCTATGTAAAAGTAGATTCCTAGTCAATCCAGTGAGTTAACAGTTTGCAGCAGTTTTATTCAGTGTCATGAACAATTTGTTTTCTCATTTTTTTGCATTTTTTCAGCACTCGGGGTCTCAAACTAACAATCGGTCCATGGAGGCAGGCCTGCGGGTAGTCAGGGGACCAACCTGGAAATGGTCCAATCAGGACGACGGCGAGGGTCACGTGGGCACGGTGGTGGAGATCGGCAAAGCCGGCAGCACCAGCTCCCCGGACAAGACGGTGGTGGTGCAGTGGGACAGCGGGACCAGGACCAACTACCGGACCGGGTACCAGGGAGCCTATGACTTAGCACTGTATGATAACGCTGTCGTAGGTACGTAGATACAGTACTGAAATAGTGAATTGGTACCCAACAACGTGGCAAGTTGGGTTGTGTGGGACTGTGTTGGATTAAGCAGGAAATGTGTCACCATTGGACTCTGTTGGATTTAGCAGGGTAGTCCTGAGGAACTACTAGGGGGTTACTGCTAATGATGTAAGGGCACTAACAAGTTTTTTTTTATTGGTGCACAGTATGAGGAAAACTTTCAAATGCAGGGTATTTAAATTTTGTCCACGTCCTTTTTGTGTAACATGAGTTACCGATTAAAACCCTTATTGCCAAACCAACAGAAGTTTATTACATGTATGTCGGCCTTTTTGCTTTGTAGTTTAATCAATTAATTTCAAGGGATCTTCAGTGAGAAAATTCCACCATAGTACATTCTTTGACTTTATAGAATAACAGCACAGAGATCAGAACTCTTAAAAGGTTGCAGACCAGTAAATAAACTGCCATAGACCCCAATGATAAATGCCCCCACTTCAAAAATTCGGGAAAAATACTCACAACTCTTCAATGTGTTCGAGACACATCAAATAAAATCTATTTCTTCATCTTTTATTTTATTTTCAATTTTCGGGGGGTTAACTGATGACTATTAGCAGAAATTTCCATCCGAAGATGACCACCCTTTCTGAAAAAGGATGCCTACACTCCATTGCAAAACAGAGTGCTTTTAGAGCCCAATTTCATCCAAACTGCACAGAGCTACAAGCTCACAGTCCTGTGCACGGCTTCCAACCATATTTTTACAAACCCTCTAGTTCATGGCCCACAATGTGCTCAATACGGAAGAATTTGAGGGCATGCAAATCATGATTTGGCCGGCGTAGGCAATTTTGGACCGATTTACTTAAAACCTTAAAAGGTAAAGCAAGTCACCATGAGCCTTATTCACGAGTCGGCCATTTTGGATTGAGAACGAGGTAAAATCTTCATTTTTGGGACTTGTGTAGAGAAATGAAAGCAGTGGCGTTACAAATTAATACCAGTCTGCTCTGATGAATAATTTCAAATTTGTGATTGAACATAACTGTACTCTAATGTTTAATGCCACATTTAAACAAAATGAAAGTGAGGCTATAGTGAATAAATAGTCTGGTACCATCCCATTGGACAGTTCACAATTTATGAAATACATATCAGAGAACACTACAAAAATGGCCAAATTGTACATAAGGTTCATTAAATTACCCCTAGATGTTAGCTACATTTAATCAAAATGTGTAATTCGTGACTTTGTTTTTTCAGGTGTCAAACACCCGAACATCATCTGCGACACGTGCAAGCGGCACGGCATCAAGGGAATGCGCTGGAAATGCATGGACTGCCACGACTATGACCTGTGCACTATTTGTTACATGAGTGACAAGCACGACCTGACGCACCCCTTCATGCGCTTTGTCACCCAGAACTCAATAGGGTGAGATTATTTCGGGTTCTTTTCTTAGAAAAATGAAAGTCATTGTCGTTACAACTTATTGTTATTCTATTCATGGTTTATTAAAAATTCAAATTGATTGCCAGAGGCAAAATTGCATTGAATTCACAAAGAGTAAAAAAAGTTAACAATAAAAAGTTAAGCTTCATTTAAAAAAAAAAAAAAAAAAAAAAAAAATGAATATAGATTAAACATGGACAAAGTCATTGTACAATTTCAAAAATATTACACATGTACACAAGAATTAGAAAGGTTGCCAAAGACAAAACATGCAACGAGTTAAAAAAAAAATAATGGGGAGTGTAGACAGAATACACCGGACACAAACCTTCTTGCACAAACTTACAGAGGTGGAGTGATGAATTGTTATAGAGAGTATTTCTTCAGTAGTTGGACCATGAATGGAATTACACTGTTAAAAATACGTTATTAAACTTATTTTTGTTTAAACCAGTTTTTATTCCTTTTGCAATCAAAAATGGATTAGGCCAAAAGAAAAGTCTGCGGTTTCTGGTATGGAGCTTGCCCCAAAAGTGGTGCGGCGACGTTTTTTTCCCCCCCTACTTTTTCTTCTTCTTCAAATGTCGGCTGATGTTGCAGATGACGCTTCGATCCCCTTAAAACTCTCAAAAATATCCTTCAGGGCGGAGCTTGAGGTGATGTCAGTAAGGCCATAAGGCTTCAGAATTCGGCACCCACTTACGATCTCGACCGAACGTTCTTCGGAAAATTTGGATGGTCAAGAGAAAAATCAGAGAAAACGCTATAACGTCAGACCATACATCGACATCGTGCATGTGCTGCCAGGCTGGTCATTAGTCTGCTCCCTTACATATTGCGCTAATTAAAAAACGTTTACAGGTTCCAGATACACGACCATCGCTCCCTCAGTCTGGCTTCCAGACGTGCAATTACAAAATTACAACACCGTCTGCAAATGGTGCCCGACTAAATTTATTGCAAAATATATGGGAGCCCAGAGAGGTAACATAAAGCTAAGACTCGATCGTAACCCCATCTAGAAACACATTAAAATTGTGCAGCAGCAGGATTTTAGTCAAATCAGTGAGTTTGGCAGTTTTTAGACATCGTCTTACATTGAAAAAGAAAAACAGAAACCAGAAATTTTAGACTTTTGTTTTCATGGTTTTGGCCTTGGGCCCCCCCAAAAAAGTCTCCGGTTTCTGGTATGGAGCTTGCCCAAAAAGTGGTGCGGCGACGCGGCTTTTTTTTTTTTTACCTGATTTTTTTGCTTCAAATGTCGGCTGATGACTGCAAATGGTGCCTGACTAAACTTAGTGCAAATATATGGGAGTCCAGAGAGGCCACATAAAGCTTATGGTCGATCGTAACCCAATCTAAAAACATGTTAAAATTGTGCAGCAGCAGGATTCCAGTCAAACCAGTGAGTTTGGCGGTTTTGAGACATCATCTTTCATTGAAAAAAAAAACCTTTTTCATTTTGCCGACGCACATGGCTACGGCGATGCGCGCGTATACCAGAAATCTGAGACTTTTTTTTTTGGCCTTACAAACTTATTTTTGTTTTAAATCAGTTTTTATTCCTTTTGCAGTCAAAAAGGGATCAGGCCAAAAAAAAAGTCTCTGGTTTCTGGTACGGAAGTTGCCCCAAAAGTGGTGCGGCGACGCTGGGTTTTTTTTCCCTCTCCTTCTTTTTCTTCTTCAAATGTCGGTTGATGTTGCAGATGACGCTTCGATCCCCTTAAAACTCTCAAAAATATCCTTCAGGGTGGAGCTTGAGGTGACCTCGGTAATGCCATAAGGCTTGAGAATTCTGTATCCACTTACGATCTCAACCGAACATTCTTCGGGAAATTTGTGTAGTCAAGAGAAAAATCAGAGAAAACGCTATAACGTCAGACCATACAGCCACATCAACATCGTGCATGTGCTGCCAGGCTGGTCATTAGTCTGCTCCCTTACATATTGCGCTAATTAAAAAGTGTTTACAGGTTCCAGATACACGACCATCGCTCCCACAGTCTGGCTTCCAGACGCACAATTACAAAATTACAACACCGTCTGCAAATGGTGCCTGACTAAATTTATTGCAAAATATATGGGAGCCCAGAGAGGCCACATAAAGCTAATACTCAATCGTAACCCCATCTAGAGACACATTAAAATTGTGCAGCAGCAGGATTTTAGTCAAATCAGTGAGTTTGGCAGTTTTTAGACATCGTCTTCCATTGAAAAAAAACCAGAAACCAGAAACTTGAGACTTTTGTTTTGGCCTTCAGGGCTGTTTTTTTTATTTTTTTTTTTTTTTTCTGAATAAGTTTCTTTTTCGGGATGTGATGCAGAACTACATGTGCCATTCACATCCTGTTTTTTCATGTTATTTCTCATGGACAGTGTTAGGGTCAGCAAGCGCCAGTCTGCCACCAAGTTGCCCCTGAGAGGCTTGTTCCCGGGGGCAAAGGTCGTGAGAGGGCCGGACTGGGACTGGGGCAATCAAGACGGTAAGGACTATTTGTCTGTTTGTTTGTCAGTTGTTTTCTTCGTTTGTTAATTGATTCAATTGTTTTTGGGGGGGGGGGATGCTGTTGGGAAGTTCAAAGTATCTGTTCAAATCTAGTTGCTTTGTCAATTCTTTCGTTCATTTGTTCATTGATATATTGCTACATGCATTTGGATAAGCTAAAGTTAGTTCTTAACCTTAACAATCCCCATCCAGTCAAACTCCAACACCAGTTTTTTTTTTTTAAACTGTTGGAGTGAGTAATTTGCTCGTAAACTGCTTCAAATGGTGTCGGGCACGTAGATGTACCTCAAGCTTGATCTAGGCCTAAATTTATGCAGGGCTGAGCAACAACACATGGTCCGGCCTAAGACCTTGACACAGTACAGCCTTCAAAATCACCAACACATTTTTGCCATATGAGCTCCGTGCGCTAACCAAGAGGGCGCCCTTTTACCTAGCAACGACGTCCCATGGGCGGGACATTTCGCTGGTTGACGCGCACCGTTCCTTGTGTGTGACGGGCGTACACCAGGGGATTTGTTCTATGTACACGCAGTGGGCGCGCTTCGCAGCAAATGAATTGCAGTCAGGCAAGATGGCGTCATTCGGTCACCCCCAACTGTACTTCCTTTGCCGGTGAGGGGGTACTTGTGAACAAAGCGGATAGCCTCAATCCTTCGTGATGCTTTACTTATGCAGGGAGGATTTGGGAGGATTTGGGGAAGTTAGGGTCAGGCATATCATTACATTCATGGAGAAGTAATTGCATACATTATAAGAAATTGTATTATTGGAAGCCTCGTGCTTTAGATTTGAAATCCCCTTCTTTTCCGTCACAGGCGGGGAGGGCAAAATTGGCAAGATCACGGACATCCGGGGCTGGGACGTGGAGTCCGGCCGCAGTGTAGCCAGCGTCACGTGGTCGGAGGGCGGGACCAACGTCTACCGGGTCGGCCACAAGGGAAAAGTGGACCTGAAGTACACCCAGGATGCCATCGGGGGATATTACTACAAGGAGCACCTACCCAAGTTGGGTGAGTTGAGTTTATTATACCCAGTTTGGGGTAGCAATAGTGGTATTTGTTGCATGTATTGTGTCTATTGGGTGAATTTTTATTGTACCTTGTTTTGGGAAGATTTCTACAAGGAACACCTACCCAAGTTGGGTGAGTTGAGTTTATTATATCCTGTTTGGGGTAGCAATATTTGTTACATGTATTGTGTCTATTGGGAGAATTTTGATTGTACCTTGTTTTGGGAAGATTTCTACAAGGAACACCTACCCAAGTTGGGTGAGTTGAGTTTATTATACCCTGTTTGGGGTAGCAGTAGTGGTATTTGTTACATGCATTGTGTCTATTGGGTGAATTTTTATTGCACCTTGTTTTGGGGAGATTTGATAGCAAGGAATACCTTCCTATCCATGCAGTGATGGATTTGATTGAATTTTAGTGTGTGTGCTGTCTTTTACAATGTATAATAGTTGAGTATTCTGAGTTGGTCTGTGAACAAGCGTTGCATATAGACTTGTGCAAAATGGCCCCAAAACTTGTGAAATCTCAGTTTAGAAATGAAATACTGGAAAAAAAGTTAAGTGGGCAGTTTGAACGAAAGGTCTTTGATTAGTCCCCATCAAAAATAAATCCCCCCCCCAAAAAAAGGGCAGATTTTTAACATTAATTTATTATGTCTGAAGTTATTTTTTTACAGAAGTTCTGTTTAGCACATGTACATGCATGGTCATCAGCCAAAATCTTGCTCTCATTGACAGTTGTGAAGATTGTAATTTTTTTTATCAAAGGTTGATATACCTTAAAACATAATTTTAACAAAAAACAACAACTTTTTTAGACCAAAAAAAAGTATTTTTACCATATTGCACCTCACTGTTAGACACTCAAATAAAAGGGCTTGTCTTCCCATTTGATACCACATTTGAAGCTGAAAACAGTTTTTCCTCATAAACCCCAAAGACATTAACATGTATACCAGCAGCCACCTTTGACATTTTATTCTGCAAAGTTGAGTCTCTCGGCAAACCAGATGACGTAATCCTGTCAGAACCACAGAAACGTTCCTGATCCTGCTGTAAGCCAATATCCGTGTTTAGTTCCTGCTTTCAGTATATGTGTCACACTCTGTCAGAATGAGGAAAAACCTGATATAAATGTTAGCATTCAACTTCAGCGTAGTTGGACTCAAAGCCAGAATTTTAGAAAATGCACTTATTACCCATTTTGATGGAGTTGATTGCAAATGCACCTTACATTGTCAATCATGTGTTAATCTTCATGGAAATATTTTGAAAACCGATTTTTGACATTTGCAAAGCCGTTTTTTGGCACATTTTATAGAAGTTCCTCAAAAGTTTGTTGAAACTCAATTGGTTCAAAATCATCTGAAATCAGAGATCCCACTTTTAATAAAAAATTCTGTGGTTTTTTTTCAAAAAATTAAAAAAAAAAGCAGATTTGTGAATTGGAAGCTCATCAATACTGAGGTTTGGCAAGAATACTTTCATGATATCTGGGGGAAATGTAAATGCGGGCAACTTGAGGGTTATATGGTAGCCATTTTGGATCGTTACTATTTCCTCATATTTATCCAGTCACTTGTATGCTTCTGAAAGCGGTATTTAAGTAAATATATCTAAGTAGAATCCCCAAAGTCTTTTACAAAAATGTAAAAAAAAAAATAGAAAATACCAAAATATGGGAATATATAACACGGCAATTAGGCACCCTTCCCAAAAGAATTTCTGGTGTCACCCCTTCTAAATATCTTCTCTAGGGCTATTATCGCAAGGTAAAATCTGGACTTTTCCTATTCATGAGGCAAAGCAGAGTGAACTGGAAAAGTCCAGATTATACCGAGCGATAATATTCTTCCCATTTCACAATTTAAAGCCATTCAATATTTGTTTTATATAACTGACATATAGATCCTTGTCATTTGATATTTGAACTTTATTTCAAACAAAATTGGTGAAAAATGTATTTCTCTCTTCCAAACCACCCCTTCACAAAAATGTTTGAACCCTGCGCTGTAGCGCTGGCTCTTTGGAACAACACGCGCTACGCGCAACGCTGAACGTGCACACCAGCATGCATTTGCACACAAATGCCGCGTCAGGATCCTAACTGTTCAATAGTATTTCCCATTCCCCATGGGCGGATAGTACTTTTTGAGCCCCGGCGTGAATGGCAGAAATAACGAAGGTCAAGTGATGTGAGTTCCACCAATCAAATGACAAGGATATATATGTCGGTTATATAAAAGAATCTATCTGTCAAGTTTGGTGCTTTTGACCAGTCGGTCATGATCTTGTCAAAAAGATCTGAGCCATTTGACAAATAGAAAATGAAAGGAACATTCTGTCAAACCATCTTTTGCAGAATTTTATATCCATTGAACTTCCTCATTTGTGTGTGTTTTGTTTTGGATATTTTCACACGTACAGGCGATGACCTACAGACCGTCCCAATGCAAGATGGGAAGGCATTGTTGACCTTCAACGTCGGCGATAAGGTCAAGGTCATCTTAGAAGAGGAAGTCTTGAAGGCCATGCAGGAGGGCCATGGAGGCTGGAACCCCAAAATGGCCGAGGTACACCAACGATTGCATCCTCGATTTATTGTGTCATTTAAAGATATAGTCCATCATTTGTAATTTGTGCATTTTGTTCGTTTGAAGCAACAAAAGTGCTCAAAATCTAAAGAAGGGCACTGAACCAACTAACCTGATGAAGTTTCAGGTCAGCTTCAGCTGTATATTCCGAGAAAAACAGCATTCTAGGATCTCAATTTCAAATCAAAAGTTGCGGAATCATGTTTTGAATTGGGCCTGAATTCAGCGTCCGAGACACGTTCTCACTGAGCCGATTGCAGTTACGCGATGTCGCGCACTGATCCGACGAATTATAGCAACCGCGCGTGTGCGTCGTGCCAATGCTTGCGCGGGCTTCGCCGAATAACAAAACGAACTACTAATTTAACTTTTCCTACGGTGCGTCTTAAGAAGCACCGTTGGAAAGGCATTCTTTCGTTGATTACTTCAAAATGACAGCTTGCCAGAAAGAATTATTTCACAGAGAGTTTAGTCCCCTTACTATCTTTCAACCAAGTATGTTTTTCAACAATAATTACACCAGTTACTTTTCGGATAGCTGCAAATGATGGACTATAGCTTAAAAAAAAAAAAAGGACAGTACAGGGTGAGTAAAAAAAAACCAACGAAACCCAAATGTCGGGACCATTGTTTTAGTGAAGTTCTGCAGATAGCACTTTCACAATCTAGGATATGAAAGCCCAATTCATAAGCTTTCTTTTAGTTCAAGAATCATTCAAATCACTCATGTACTTTTTCAAGTTACAGAGTTTTAAACACAACCACCGTTTTAAAGTTCTGTCCACGGATCACAAAAAAAGGCGTGCATTCTTTCATCAAAAAGAAAACAATTCACACACATCCCTATGTGATTTGTTTTCGTTTTGCTGAAAGAACACTGAACTCTTTTGTGATCCGTGGACAGAACCTTAAAACGATGGTTGGGCTTTCACATCCGAGATTTTGAAAGTGCTACATGCAGAACTTCACTAAAAAAAATGGTCCCGACATTTGGGTTTCGTTTTTTTTACTCGCCCTGTACAGACTTCAACAGCAGGTCAGAGCAGCATGGGCAAAGGCCCCAAGCTGTCAGGCCCAAGCACACTAATAAACATGTACTCAACACAAACAGTCATGTTTTACTATACTCTCCAGGACAATGCTTTGTTTATTCCCTTTTGTCCATGTGATATAACACTCTCGGATCTGTTGTTCTCCCTTTGTGTGTCGGTCCTCGGGGGCTATGTAGAACAGTACACACATGTTGTATCCTCCAATACGCTCCGAGCATAGGGTACTGCCATGCATGTCCAGCTGACTGGCCGAACAAATTACACTCTAACGATAACAATATTCCTTGCATTATTTTGTCTTTGTCTCTTAGTATATTGGCAAAGTGGGCTTTGTACACAGGGTGACAGAGAGGGGCGACATCAGGGTCCAGTATCCTACCAATCACATCAGGTGGACGTTCCATCCGGGCTCATTAAACAAGGTAAAACATAGTCTGGGCTCATAGAGCTATTACTAGAGCGCTAACTTCGTGTACAAAGTAATGCCTGCTGGGCGCATCCATGTTTGTGCACAAACCTATGGAGACCTAGAAATTTTGTACGGCTTTTGTACGGCTATTTGCATATCTGCGTTTGTATTCCATACTGGTGCGTTATAGAAGCCAATATGCCCAAAACCGAAACGCACGATCAGCAAATGAGCGTGTCATTTTGTCTTGCAAACAGCGCAACGCATGCGCGTATTCGCTGCAGATGCTTCTTGCCGTCACGTTTTTTTAATCATCAAGGACGCGCTTAAGTTGTTTGCGTATGTTCTACTTGCACGTTGCATGTAGAGTACACTTTCAAAATTCAATCTATCTAATTTCATTATGTTCTACAAACACGCACATGAATTCAAAATGTCTGCGCCCAGGACGGCTTCAAAGCGTCTCTGCGCGCAGAATGACGAGTTAGCGCTCTAGTAATTTAATATAGCTCTATGTCTGGGCTTGATCTTATGAACAGTGAACACTAACAAAATGTAGAGATGATGTAATGGCTCCATAATCATGAAGAAGTTGATCTCATTTGTCTCTGTGTCTTTTACAAGACACACTTTTCAGAGCACAAGTCAATTACAAGTCAGTCACAAGTCAAACACAAGTCAGTCACAAGTCAGTCACAAGACAAGCAGAAGTCAATCACAAGTCAATCACAAGTCAGTCGCAAGTCAGTCCCAAGTCAATCACAAGTCAGTCACAAGTCAGTCACAGGTCGGTCACAGGTCAATCACAAGTCAGTCACAAGTCAATCGCAAGTCAATCATAAGTTAGTCACAAGTCAATCACAAGTCAGTCACAAGTCAGTCACAAGTCAGTCACATGTCAGTCACAAGTCAATCACAAGTCAGTCACAAGTCAGTCACAAGTCAATCACAAGTCAGTCACAAGTCAGTCACAAGTCAGTCACAAGTCAGTCACAAGTCAGTCACAAGTCAGTCACAAGTCAGTCACAAGTCAATCGCAAGTCAATCACAAGTCAATCACAAGTCAGTCACAAGTCAATCACAAGTCAATCTGAAGTCAGTCGCAAGTCAACCACAAGTCAACCACAAGTCAACCACAAGACCATCACAAGTCAATCACAAGTCAATCACAAGTCAATCACAAGTCAGTCGCAAGTCAATTACAAGTCAACCACAAGACCATCACAAGTCAACCACAAGTCAATCACAAGTCAATCTGAAGTCAATCACAAGTCAGTCACAAGTCAATCACAAGTCAATCTGAAGTCAGTCGCAAGTCAACCACAAGTCAGTCACAAGTCAGTCACAAGTCAATCACAAGTCAGTCACAAGTCAGTCACAAGTCAGTCACAAGTCAATCACAAGTCAGTCACAAGTCTATCACAAGTCAGTCACAAGTCAGTCACAAGTCAGTCACAAGTCAGTCACAAGTCAATCACAAGTCAATCTGAAGTCAGTCGCAAGTCAACCACAAGTCAACCACAAGTCAACCACAAGACCATCACAAGTCAATCACAAGTCAATCACAAGTCAATCACAAGTCAGTCGCAAGTCAATTACAAGTCAACCACAAGACCATCACAAGTCAACCACAAGTCAATCACAAGTCAATCTGAAGTCAGTCGCAAGTCAATTACAAGTCAACCACAAGTCAACCACAAGACCATCACAAGTCAACCACAAGTCAATCACAAGTCAATCACAAGTCAATCTGAAGTCAGTCGCAAGTCAACCACAAGTCAATCACAAGTCAATCACAAGACAATCTCAGATCATCCACAAGTCAATCACAAGTTAATCACAAGTCAATCTCAAGTGGAATATATGTTTCTAAAGGAAAAACAGTATTTACATTTTTAGGACTACAAACCTCAAAACGTTAAAGGCCTTTTTTTCTCAGTGCTTTACTTTTTTAACATGAGATAAATGCGAACTTTCAACAACCTTGACTTGTCAACAAGTACAACAAACAGTATTGTAAGGAGAATGTTATTCTCTTTCCTAATACCAGCAGATCTCTCATTTTGACCTCTGCCCAGTTCTGTCTCATTTTGCCAGAACGCCTTTTTACTTTTACCTTGTAATTAATTATTCATAAATACCTCAGACAGTTTAGCTATTCCTATTGGTCGAGAGCCCGTCACGTGGCCGGTCTTAAACGGATGATAAAGACATGGCTAGCTGGTCTTAAACACTTTTCCAGTGTCGCAATAAAATGTAGACCCCTAAAAATCCAGTGCCTCTTACCGTTTCATTGGTTGAACGTTCGCAATCCTCACGTAGGCATGCGCAACTCTACCAGCGAGTCAGAATTTTATAGTTCTAAATTCAAAACGCAACGCGCCAGGTGCGTTCTGCGCGACATCGCTCAGAACATGCCACGCGCGCGCCAATCTCCATAAAAGGGCTGGTTACATCTTACTCGCCAGCTGAACACTCCATTATTTTGCTAGAGGGATGTTTCAAAAAGCATGAAGTGAACTTGTTGAACAAATCGGTATTTTTTGAACGAATTATTTGATATCTTTTTACCAAAAAGGTATTTATGAATGGGAATAAATATGTGCTCAGTCGGTATTTATCACTCTGTTTAAGACCACTTAGAGTCTGGGTGCTGATAATTACCCTCGCCTCCGGCTCGGGTAATTATCCGCACCCAGACTCTAAGTGGTCTTAAACAGAGTGATAAAAGCCTCCATAGCACACATTTATTCCCTTAATCATGATATCCTGAGCTTGTCATTGAATGTTGCCATGTGTTTCTAATTGCAGGTGGATTGTTACGCCTCGGGGGACAGAGTCAGGGTCAGCACCAACGTCACCCTTGTCAAGAAGCTACAGACTGGGCACGGGGAGTGGAGCGAAAACATGAAAGAAGTAAGAAATCTGAAATTAACTGGGTTTTTTTTTTTTTTTTTTTTCCATTTTAAATTAGTTGGGCAATTCCAGAGAATTGTTAACCTCAATATCAAAATACAAAATTGTATGTTCCTTTCATGCGATTGAATTCAAACTTGGTGCATATCATGACCACAATGAAAACATGTGCATTGATGACAAGTGTCATTACGATGACATCATCGCGGACATGTGACGTCATGTTAAAGTTGTATATTTAAAAGTCCTCTTTATGTAGAAGTTAGTTGTGGAACTACGGTATGTTCTTGCATGTAATTTACCTGACTGCATATGGACAAATCACGCCTGGACCTTCAATCTACTTGCTTCTGGATGAGGAGAAGCAATCATTGTTAAGTGCCTTGCTTAGGGACACTAAAATGTCGATAATTTGTTTAATAATTTTACTTTTCCCCAAGACTCTTGGCAAGTCAGGTAAGGTCATCAAGGTCTACCCCGACGGTGAAGGGTGTCCATTGGTGATCACGTTTGGACCTTCAATCCACTTGCTTCTGGATGAGGAGAAGCAATCATTGTTAAGTGCCTTGCTTAGGGACACTAAACTGTCAATAATTTGTTTCAATAATCTGACTTTTCCCCCAGACTCTTGGCAAGACAGGTAAAGTCATCGAGGTTTACCCAGATGGTGACCTGAGGGTGTCAATCGGTGATCATGCCTGGACCTTCAATCTTCTTGCTTCTGGATGAGAAGAAGCGATCATTGTTATAAAGTGCCTTGCTCAGGGACACTAAATTGTCAATTAGTTGTTGTAATAATCTTACTTTTTCCCCCAGACTCTTGGCAAGACAGGGAAGGTCATCAAGGTCTACCCAGATGGTGACCTGAGGGTTTCCATCAGCGATCACGCCTGGCTGTTCAACCCGTCATGTGTCTCGCCGATGGGCAATCATTGTTAAGTACCTTGCTCAGGGACACTAAACTGTCAATAATTTGTTGTAATAATCTTACTTTTCCCCCAGACTCTTGGCAAGACAGGGAAGGTCATCAAGGTCTACCCAGACGGTGATCTGAGAGTTTCCATCAGTGATCACGCCTGGACCTTCAACCCGTCATGTGTCTCGCCGGTGGACCCGGACGCGCCAGACCTGAACAACACGCTGATATCAGAAAGAGACGAGGATCAATCAGGTAAAAGATCAATGTGTCCAAGTGTTACGGACACATTGGTGGGTGTTAAGTAGGTTAATACGTTTATTTATTTCTTATTTTAACTGGGTAGCCCATTCAGTGGAATCCATTGATCTCCCATGGGTCCCAGTAAAGAGAAGACAATGTGAAGAAATTACAGTTTTAGACGTGGGAGGAAAAGCCCAGAAGAATATTCTGAGGAAAACCCACGGAATCAGGTAGGGACTGAAAACCCAATCCACATATTGGCCCAGGCGGGATTCGAACCCGGGTCACAGCGGTGGAAGGCGAGGAAAGTACCGCTACGCCAACCTGAATACACTCAGCAGCACACCGTTCGTGGGTGATGAATGGCCCCCTGGAGAACATTCTCACCCACAAACGACACGCTCCTTGTGTTTTATAATAATTCCACTAATTGTACCATTAAGGAGACATCGGTCATTAGGGAGACATTTTCATGTCACAGCCCCCCTTTAGAGGCAAAATGTTACCGTCGCAAATAGGTTATTTTTGTTGCTCGTGGTTTAATTAGTAAACATACCAAAATTCATGGAAAAAGGACAAGGGAATATTGGGTTAGGGCACATTTAAGTTTGAAAAATGTTGTGCACAAGTCTATGGGAATGTCTCCCAAATGGCCCATTTTCCATAATTATAATTATTATAATAATAATAATAGGCATTTATATAGCGCTATTAAAACAGGGTATCAAAGCGCTTTACAATTATTATTACCCCTGTTCAACGGGCAAACACTCCTGAAACCTTTTCAACTCACTGGGGAGCATACTGGTACACGGCTGGTAGGCAGCCATTTCGGTGCTCTTGGCAGCAATCAACCTTGCACAGTAACAAACTCTGCCGTCCCAGGTACCCATCTACTCCTGGGTGAAGAGAAGCAATGACTGACAAAGTGCCTTGCTCAAGGGCACACACACCATTACCCCAGGCTGGACTCCAACCCACAACCTGCAGAATTACCCATAGACCACAAATTCGATGCTCCAGACCACTAGGCAACGACATTCCTTTATTGACCACTGAAAGTCTCAGTTTAATTTGTGGGTGTATTCCCATTTCTGTAATAAATGCTTCATTGGGTGGCATGGGTGGCTTGTGCGTAAAGCGCTCGCCTCTCACCAAGGTGACCACGGTTCGAATCCTGGCCGCGGATCGCATGTGAGTAGAGTTGTGCGTTGGTTCTCTCCTGTGCCACGAGGGTTTTTCTCCTGGCCCTCCGGTTTTCCTCCCTCCGGAAAGATCAAACACTTTCGATCTCAGGCTGTGCTCCGTGGTCATATATGGGTCGATGTGGCCGGCAGCCATAGGTGCCTTTACGTGCCAGCGGCCCGACCATGTTGTAGCCGCGTCCTTCGCAATTCAGCATACCAGCTGCGAGTAAGGATGATTAGCCTCCCAAATTATTATTATTATTATTCATAAGCACTCTGGCGTCTCCTTGTTTGGAATGTATAGGCAGTCTTCACCTAGCACTGGATCAGATCTTATCTCACCCAGCCAACAGCGAGGTACCGGCCAAGCTAGTCAGTGAGGCAGCTCAGGGCAACAAGTTGGCAGTGGCTGAAATTCTCAGCAAGCACTCCGATTGGGTAAGTTCAAAGTTAAGTCTGTCCATGTCTATGCGGCTTAGTAGGTCATTTTTAAATCCTGGGGTTTTTTTTCGCATGAGCAATATAGAATTTTTTACTAAATAGCAGGTTGCATATCTGACTGATGCCAGTGCCCTGCATGCACCAGGAGTGAGAATTCTCCGGATTTTTCCGGATTTCTGGATTGTGGTCAAACGTCTGCTGGATTCCGGATTTCCAGCGTTTTCCGTTTCCGTATTTTCCGTAATATCGCCCGAAAACTTCTGCAGAAGTGTAGTCCCTAAGGTCCCTAAGTGTGTCGCCGTAGCCATGCGCGCCGGCAAAATGGAAAAGTTTTTTTTTCAATGAAAGATGATGTCTGAAAACCGCCAAACTCACTGGTCTGACTGGAATCCTGCTGCTGCACAATTTTAACGTGTTTTTAGATTGGGTTATGGTCGAGAATGAGCTTTATGTGGCCTCTCTGGACTCCCATATAATTTGCACTAAGTTTAGTCGGGCACCATTTGCAGTCATCAGCCGACATTTGAAGCAAAAAAATCAGGTAAAAAAAAAAAAAAAAGCCGCGTCGCCGCACCAGTTTTTGGGCAAGCTCCACACCAGAAACCGGAGATTTTTTGGGGGGCCTAATTTGGGTTTCTTTTTTCTTACTCACCCTGTATAGACATACTTAAATATGATCCCCAAAATTTCAGGCAGAGTTTTAAAAACTTGTATTTCTATTGTGTGTTTGTCTGGGTCGTAGGTCAACTGTAAGAATTCTGGGAAGACAGCTCTGCAGGTGGCCAGCCACCAGGGTCACCTGGAGGTCATCAAGGTCCTGCTGATGAGCAAAGCCAGTCTGGAGGTACAAGACCAGGATGGGGACACTGCGCTGCACTATGCCGTCTTTGGGTAAGTCCTCAATCTTTGCCTAAAAAGAGTTTGAATATATGCTTCCGCCAGCTACTCTCTGGCATTGGTATTTAATGATATATTCCATCATTTGTAATTTGTGCATTTTGTTCCTTTGAAGCAACAAAAGTGTTCAAAATCTAAAGAAGGGTACTGAACAACTAACCTGATGAAGTTTCAGCTCAGCTTCAGCTGTATATTCCGAGAAAAACAACATTCTAGGATCTCAATTTCAAATCAAAAGTTGCTGCATCATGTTTTGAATTGGGCCTGAATTCAGCGTCCGAGACACGTTCTCACTGAGCCGATTGCAGCTACGCGATGTCGTGCATTGATCCGACGAATTATAGCAACCACGTGTGCATCGTGTCAACACTTGCACGCGCTTCGCTGAATAACAAAAGGAACTGTCTTAAGACGCACCGTTGGAAAGGCCTTCTTTCGTTGATTACTTCAAAATGACAGCTTGCCAGAAAGAATAATTTCAATGGGAGTTTAGTCCCCTTACTATCTTTCAACCAAGTATGTTTTTCAACAATAATTACGCCAGTTACTTTTCGGATAGCTGCAAATGATGGACTATAGCTTTAACAGTGTTGTATCAATCATAACACATCAGAAGTCTGGTTACAACTCAATTCATAAGGCCAGTCACAACAGGGGGCGAACAATAACAAAGGATGGCATTTGACACTGCAAATGAGAGTAGCATGTGAGTTAACTTGGTCCTGGAAGACTTATGATGACTTGTGATGGATCACAACTTGTACCTAAAGTAGGTGACCATTGGGCAATGTGCACATTGTAACCATTTAAGGGTATTTGGACAATTCCAGCCAAGTCCCAAGCGGGCATTATTGTCTAGGGCTATGGCCATTTACTGATACAAGACATGATAATATACAAGACCCAGGTGAAATGGATGTGTTGAGTCACAATTTGGGCGATTCACAATGCAGAGCGCCACCAATAGTTTGCCACGGAGAGTTAATTTTTCCCAGTGCATTGTGGGAGATGGTCGACAAATTCGCACTGCGCGACATTTAAAATTGTTCATTTTTTCCAGTCAGTAGTTTCGTAAGCATATGATTCGAGAATATGTTTACCCTTTTTTTTCCTTCTTATCAATATGGTGATTTTTGGTAAGGCGGCAGAACGTTATGCCCCAATCTATAACAAACTAGCTCAAGTGTCTACTGACACTCATTCAAATGGGCCATATTTTGTCGACCATAAACGTGAAAAGTTGACTCGCAATGGCATAGGGCCGTTTCGAATATTCGAATATTCGATCGATTGTCGAATATTTGAATATCTTTTTTCGGATATTCGGAGGATATTATGAAGTGAAATAAGCAGGGGAAATTTAACTATTCATGATGAAAATCTCATTCCAGAGATTAATCTTCAGGTGATTCCTGATGCTTAAAAGCAGCTGATATGCTAAACAGCAATATGCAGAATTCATCTAAGAATTATGGAATGCATTTTTGATGTGCGAAGTACAGTACAACACTGCTATAACAAACACCGCTATAACAAACAATTTTTATGGATCCCGTCATGTTCATTATAGTGGTGCTGTAATAGCATTGAGAAGCTTTTGTGATGATTATAATCTGCAATTTCGTGCGTGAATGAAACTGTTTTTGTACATCTTTTATTCATTAAAACTCTGCCATCAGGTAAGACCGAATATTTGAATATTCGATCGAATTTGAGTTCGAATATTCGAATAGTCAATTATTCGAATTGACTCAGGCCTACCATGGCAAACTCATGGTGGCGCACTGCATTGTGAATCGCCCGAATTGTGAGCTGTTAGATGAACAGTGTCTCATTCTTTCATTAAGTCAGGGAACAATCACAGTACAAAATTGGACCCAGCTTATCCATTTCACCCGGGTCTTGTATCATGTGCATGTTCATCAATCGTGCACATGCAAATTAGGTACTGATTAAATCAGTGTTTGTTTTGATATGTGGTGTCCAGAGTGCAGACGGAGGTAATTCGTCGCAGCCTGAGACTTAAAAACCCAATTTTGTCAAAGCTAAAATGTTAAAAACTTTACCTTTCTAACATATTATTTTAAGCAAAATAGAAAAAAAGGGAGCAGAGCTACCAACTCTCTCTGATTCTGCAGAAAGTTCCCTGAAAATAAACTAATCTTTCCATGTTCTGATGAACAAATTTGAAAATCTCCCTGATTATGGAAACTTTTTCACCATTATGTTGAATGTAATTCTAAATATCTCCCTGATTGTTGTACAAAATCTCCCTGATTGCAAGATGCAAATGTTGGCAGCTCTGAGGGAGGATTTTTTTTGAGTAGTGGATGCAATACACATTGGAAATTCAATTACTAAGTACACATTATCCGTTACTTGCTGCTGCTGTATGGAATCAGGATACAGGAAGCAAGTTTCCCAACCACGGGGTTACTATCTGCTCCGTTCACAAGTACCCCCTCACCGGCAAAGAGAGTACAGTTGGGGGTGACCGACCGACGCCATCTTGCCTGACTGCAATTCATTTGCCGCGAAGCGCGGCCACTGCGTGTACATAGTACAAATCCCTTGGTGTACGTGCGTCACACACAAGGAACGGTGCACGTCAACCAGTGAAATGTCCCGCCCATGGGACGTCGTTGCTAGGTAAAAGGGCGCCCTCTTTGTCGGCGCACGGAGCCCATTGGAAATGAGGTTGAAAACAAAGTTAGCCCTGGAGATAGCATCCCTTTGTGTTCAGACAAACATGGTAAACGGTTAAAAAAAAAATATTCAGTGCCCTTTTGACAGGAAGGACTTCTTTGCCTTTTTTTTTTCTTTCTTTCAGGAACCAGCCGGACGTAGCTCAGTATCTCCTCAACAAGAAAGCCAAGATAGACGCGGTGAATAACGGCCAGTGCAGCAGCCTACACGTGGCCGTCAACAAGAGCTTCACGGCGTGCGTCCGCGTGCTGCTCAGACACAAGTGCAACATCAACCTGCAGGTGATTGTAACATCCACGCTGCCGCTCATTTAGTGCTGGGAGAGACCAAATATTTCATAATCCGTTTCAACGAAACTCTCCAAAACCACATATGTGACCTGTTCTGTCAAAAGCAGACGCTTCTGGGCAGAGGTTGAAATTGAGATAGGGCCAAAAAACGCTGTGGGGGTGATTTTTTTTTGATTTTCAAATGTTTGCACATTTGTAATCCTGAACATGTCTAAAATATACTATAAAAGTTTGAAACCCTAATTTGAACTCTAAATATAGTATTTTTGATGATTTGTTAAGGTAAATCAGTTAAAGAAATTACTGTTTTGTGACGTTCGTGGCCATTTTCTCCGTTTTCTACTTTTCGACACAATGAACTTCAAACTAGCATAACTTTGCCCAGGAATGACCGGTTTCAAAAATTCAACCACCTATTAAAAGGAAAAAGAACATTTTTTAACAATATGCAAAAATCTCATTTTTGACCTTATGCCCAGAAAAGTCTGATTTTGACAGAACAGGTCACATATCTGAACGTGTGAACAGGCAAAGTTTCTTGAATTGTATGTTTAGTTTGTCCTTGAGAAAACAAAAATGGCAAAAGTTAACGCGAGAAATGATGGAACTTTACGGTAGTGCCTTTTCATAATTTAAATTGTGTGATTTCTTAGATGTGCAGATTGTCATGTGGGGAATTCCAGCATTGTGAAGGGAAGTGTAATGTCCGTGACAGAGCCTATTTGCCATGGTATCTAATTAATCCTAACCTTCCCAAATCCTCCCAAATCCTCTTTGCAAAATCATGGATTTTGCAGGATTGAGGCCATATGGCAAAAATGTGTGGCTGATTTCAGAGGATGCACTGTGTCAAGGTCTTAGGTTGGACCTTGTGTTGTTTGTGCTCAGCCGTGCATAAATTTAGGCCAAGATTATACTTGAAATCCTCCGCACTGCTCCAGGATGTCACTGGCTCTGCCTCAACATATTGACAGTGATTACTGGAGGATTTTGCAGGATTGAGGCAGTGGTCACCCCTCCAAGGACCGCATTCAAGAAATAACGGAGGATTTTGCAGGATAGAGGCTGTATGCAATTTTTACATGGATGCAGTTGGAGGATTTTGCAGGATTGAGGTTGCATCCTAGCAAAAATGCCTAGGGAGTTAGGGTTAATGTTTCAGAGAAATGATCCAAAACTCCTTAGTCTGTTATTTTCTTGACCATTACTACATGATGGATGTATGAGATTTGAAGAAAATTTTTTTTTTTCAGGTTTAAGCATTGAGCTCTTAAAAGCTCTGTAATTGACGGTATATAGAATCATCAAGATTGTGGACTTTTTTGTAATGCAAGCTGCGAAACCATTCACAAGAGGAAAATTGTCATATTGAAGTTTTTTATGCGGCATAAACGTTAAGACCAAGTTTATCTTTTTTATCTGATAAGTTATGGCCATTAACCCTAACCCCCTCTGGGCACCCTGCCAAATGCAACGCAATGCAGGCATGGAATACATGCAGATCAGGACACTGCTAAATGCAACAAGTTGCAACAACTTTTCACTACTGGTGCATTCTGTGGCATTTAGCAGGGTTAGGGTTAAAATACATGTATGAGATTTTTAAAAATTTGATGGCAATTTTCTTCTAAATCAGACAGACTCACCATTTCAAAGGTTTTTACTGGTCAGACAGAATCACATTTTTAGACATTTATTGGCATTTTATTCTCCCATTATCTGACAGGATTCCTACGGCGACACGGCCCTACACGACGCCATCGCCAAGAACTGCAAGGACATCATTGACATGCTGACGGAGGTGGACGGGGCCGACTTCACACTGACAAACCAACGAGGCTTCAACGTCATTCACCATGCTGCCTTGAAAGGAAACCACTAGTCAGTACAGACATCTTCGCACCCATTTTTTTGACTGACATCGTTCTAGAGTCACACTGTACCAAATTATTCAGTAGTTTTTTGTGTCGCTGAAACAAAGTTTTAAAAATTAATGTGGCCTGACATTGCGAACTTAGCAAGTTCTTCTTCAGAGGCTAAAACAGAAATGACAGAGGTACATACATTAACATGGGGGTGCACACAAACATGCAGGGCTGAAAGAAGAAACACAAAAGGAGGATTAAGTGGGAAAGGTGTAGAAAGATGCAGGGGAGGGTGGATGAGAGAACAAAGAAACAAAGGGAGATGGCAAACCACAAGGGGTCTGGTATGAACAGGGGAGGGACCAGAAAGGGGAAGGATCAAAGGTCACAGGGAGTGGGAACGGACAAAAGAGTGTGAGAGTGAAGGGGGATGATGTGAGGGAGGGGGGGACAGTATGGAGGTGGAAGGGGATGAAAGATGGGGGAAGATGGGTAAACACAAACAAAGTTTTGGGAGACATTTACTAAGCACTGTCAATATCAGAATTTTCAATAATTGATATATATCGGAAATCCAATATCGTGAAAATTCGATATATCGATTATCCCATGTAAAACTTAAAAACCATAAAGATGACACTTTAATTAAAAAAACCCCAAAAAACAATATTAAGTCCCAATTTTCCACGGCTTTCTCTGGAGCATATTGCTGAAACTTTTTAAAACAAATCTTTTTGGGTTTCTTTTGAGGTTTTACATTGGGTAGACCGTGAGTTCCATTGAACGTAGGTCACAAAGCGACGCCGCTTGTCATTTTGCGATGTTTTGAGTCGCAAGCAAAGTTGCCGCCAAGTTTTATTTCATTATACAGCAAACGTTAAACACAAAGTAAATCACAAATGGGAGATTTATTTTGACGATAATCTGACGCATTTTCAATATTTTCGATATCATTCCTCAATATCGAACATTTCGATACTTTGATATGATTGAAAAGTTGCTATCAGCGATATCAATATCAAAATAATTGAGGAATATGGATATATCGATGATGCTTACTCCACAGTGCCACAGAGAAGCTTGTCGTGAAAGCCCGGCAGTTAGTCAACCTGAAGAAGGACGACGGCTTCTCAGCACTTCATCTTGCCGCCTTGAACGGACACGGGGACGTCGCCGAGGCGCTCATCGCAAAGGTACGTCAGAATGCTGCAATCCATTTAACCCTAACGGTCTAAGAATTTTTGTAATACATGTACATGTTTGTAATTCCTGGGGCCGATTACACGAAACTCGTCTTATCTTGCGACCTATCTTAGGAATTACGACGAGTCCCCGCTCAAAGGTCAATCTTAACTAAGATGCGTCCTAAGACCAGTTTCACTAAACCCATCTTAAGTAAGACGCATCAAAACTACCAATTTGATAGCTGTTTATGTTTCGTTTTACCGCTTGACGAAACAGTCGTTGAAAAGAAATGCGCAAAACCGGTTACTCGCGCGTGCAAAGAACACGATTTTTTGACAGAAAAAAATTACTCTACTCAATAAATTTCACGTGCATGCTACCGGTATTCTACACAAGATACGATATAGTCATTCTTGCTCCCCGTTGCATCACTCTGTTTAAAAAAAAGTCGACTAAGTGTTGGCGTAGGCTATAATTAAAGTTTTGTTAAGCTATTTTTATTCAAACTACCTACATATCAGAAATCTGTTCATATCTGTTTCTTATTGCAGTTTTCTTCCTTTAAAAATCTGTTTCTTAAGCGCTTTTCCTCCTCGAAAATGCTACTAAACCGACATTCGTCTTTAACGGCCAATATTTCCATATGATATACAAATTAACGCACGCATTAATGAAATAAGACGACCCTCAGACCGATCATATGTTAAGACGAGTTCAGCCGTTTTGCTAAGGAAGTTAGGACGTGTCGCACGCGTCTTAAGTTTGGTGAAATCGATCCTAGAAGGAGTTGCGAGTTGAGATGAGTTACCCTTGTTAAATCAGCCCCTGCATTATTATTTGAATTTTTCATTTCTAGTTTCTTTTTCCCCCCTTTTTTTTCTAGGGCCAGGCCGACATTGACATCCAGAACAATCGCAAGCAGACCCCACTGCTCTTGACGGTAGGCCAGGGGCACACCGCTGCCTTAGAGCGCCTGGTGTCCAAAGGAGCTAACATCAACGCTGAGGATGAGGATGGAGACACTTGCCTGCATCTTGCCTTGATGAGACAGAGCGTCTACGCCGTGGCTGACAGCACGCCAATCTTATCCAAAGTAGGTCTTAAAGCTACAGTCCATCATTTGTAATTTGTGCATTTTGTTCGTTTGAAGCAACAAAAGAGTTCAAAATCTAATGAAGGATACTGAGCAACTAACCTGATGAAGTTTCAGCTAAGCTTCAGCTGTACATTCCGAGAAAAACAGCACTCTAAGATCTCAATTTCAAATCAAAAGTTACTGAATCATGTTGTGAATTGTTTTGAATTGCAGCTATACGCGACATCGCGCACTGATCCGACGAATTATAACAAGCGCGCGCGCATGTGCGTCGTTCCAATACTTGTGCGCGCTGCTGCGCTGAATAACAAAACGAACTACTAATTTAAATTTTCCTACGGTGCTTCTTAAGAATCACCGTTGGAAATGCCTTCTTTCGTTGATTACTTCAAAATGACAGCTTCCCAGAAAGAATAATTTCACAGGGAGTTTAGTTCCCTTACTATCTTTCAACCAAGTTTGTTTTTCAACAATAATTACGCCAGTTACTTTTCGGATGGCTGCAAATGATGGACTATAGCTTTAAGGGCAATTCCATGGTTACTCACGTTACATTTTTGATGTACTTTTGAGTTTCCTTGGGCTGTAATCACCTTACTGAAAAGGTTTAATAACTGTTATCCCCATGGTAGATAGAGTAGACCTAGACCTACCTAAGCACCAAAGATGACATCCAGAAAAACGTGTTATGTATGATAAACAAGACGCACAAAATTGGTTACTCACGTTACGAAAATGTAACGTGAGTAACCGTGGAATTGCCCTTAAAGGGCTCATGAAACCTTCTTTGGAATATTTTTAATGTTTCAAAAAGCAGAATTTACAAAAATGTTAACCAAAAATTGATGTTTTATAATTTTCATATATTTTTGAGAGAAAAGAATGTTTGCAAAAGCTAAGTTCCATATATTTTTTTTAACAAACATGACAAATGACGTTAAATTTTGAACTTTATCCCCATGTAATTTTTATGAATTAGAGTGAGCCACATATGAGATGCAATCAAGCTGAATGAGTCGTTTGTCAACCCTGGTCAATTTTTTTTTTTTTTTTACAGATTTGAAAAGAGCACAATCTCAGCATTGCTGCTGTGAAAATCCGCATGCTGATACCATCTTTAGTTCAAAAATTATGGAAGTCGGCACACCAAGAGATGTGATGAAGTGATGTGATGAAGTGGCCCTATTTTGGCCTGAATCTCCAAATGAAAGTTCCCGACAAACGACTCATTTAGCTTGATCGCATCACATATGTTTTCTTTAAAAAATTAAACTTGGTCACTTTCTTTTTGACTATAGCAGCTCTTGAGTGCCGAAATTTACTGTTCGGAATAATTTAGTTCAGCATGACTCTAGAACACCAGTCTGAAATAAGTCTAAGCTGACTGATTCAAATCTTTGGCAGTTATTTTTATTTCTCATTTTTTTTTTTACCCAGATTCGTTCGTCACTACCTCCTAGCAACAACAACATTGGCACCGGGCCAGCAGTTGCCTGCTACCTGACAATAGAGGGCGCCGATCTCAAGCACCGCAACCACCAGGGCAAGACGGCCCTTGACCTAGCCACTGCTTGTCAGTTGGACAGTCTCCTCAAGCAATGTGCTGAACTCCGACAGTACGATTTTACATTTTTTTTTTGTAAAGCCATGTCATTTGTAATAAGCCAAACAAGTAACTACCGATTTAAGCCTTTCCTTACCATATTGTTGATTGATTCGCCCAGAACCAAATTATTTGCTCAGTCATGCAAAAATCACTAAAGCATGAAAAAAATGACAAGTTGTGAACTCATTTTGTTTAACCAAGATTTTCACTGTCAAGGAGTGATCGAAACCAATAGTGTTCGAAGAAAAGTTTATTACTTGAACCATACTCTTTCATGTGATGTACAAATCAAAGCAATATTTGTAAAACTTAGAAAGTTATGCCTTTTTGTTCATCTGGTTCCAGTTATCAAACTGCAAGCCATTTCACCACATGACCACATGGCACTCCATACCTCAAATTGTGCGTGGATACTTCTGATGCAGTTTTCTGATTTTTTTTGTAATAGTAACACTATGACTAAACAACACCATTAGAACGATCCAAAAACGCTCTTTCAGCTGGTATATGGTTGATGTATGGGCGGCAAAACATACCAACACGACAGTTAGTTGAAAATCAATGAATATATCTGTTGAGAGGGACCGTTGGCAGACGTTGCGTAAGTAAAACACATGGAGTGTGATGGCCTAGCGGTTAAGAACACCGGACTCATGTTCTGGTGTTTCAGAGGCAACAGTGACGTGGGTTCGAGCCCGCCGGCGGACACTTGTGCTCTTAAGCAAGGCACTTAACCATTATTGCTTCGTCCTTCGGATGGGACATTAAGCCGTAGGTCCCATGTGTTGTGTAAATGCACGTAAAAGAACCCAGTAACATTTGTCGCTAAGAGAAGGGGTTTGCCCTGGTGTTTCTGGCCTCCTGTATAAACTCCCACGTGGAGTATTTAGGAGAAGAACCAACCAAGAACCAAGAACATCTCAGGTCTTATGTTGAATTAATTTTTTGTACCTTCTTCAACTGTTATAACTCTGGGAGTTTTCACTGCGGCAAAGTTTTCATGTCCATGTAGCTCTCTGTAAGTGTTTTTTTTTTTTTTCGATCCCTTCTTTTCTGAGCAGAAGGAGGCTAGGAGAAACGCCCAAGACCCCTCCCAACGTGAAACAAAAACCCACACGGCCCAAACCAGCCACGGCACCTCTGTTATCATCTTCGTCCGGAGATCACGCGGCGAGCAGGGCACCAGACCCAGTGTCTGATATGGAGACGGACGGCGGCAACCTGCAGGCCATCATGACCCAGTGCCGCATGTGCCAGAACCCGGCCAACTGCCGGTTCAAGCCCTGTGGGCACCAGGCCGCCTGCATGGAGTGTGCTAAGCTGTTCCAGAAGTGCTTCATCTGCAAGGTGCGTACGAATGACTAATGTTGCAAGCAGGAACAAGACGCTTAGCAGAAATTGATCTGCGATTTCATTACACAGCTTGTTGGATGTTGCTTAAAAACCCTCCCTGTCTGGCTGTCAAATTCAACACAGCTATCCCAGTGGTCAAAATCAGTCAAGTGACTGTTTTCAACAGTTAAAGGGAATATACAACATTTGCAAACATCGAAAAATAAAATTACCAAGTTTTTACGAAATACCTTACTAGGATGTTGGTAAATGACAGTCTAAAGCATCCTGTAAAATTATGGCACCTGGTGTGAAGTCATTTTCAAGAAAATGCTATTTTTTGTATACATTTCCAATGGTGGTCGGCCGACCGCTGTTGGAAGAACCTAACTATTTTTCAACTACTGCTCCAACTTTACCTTTTCTTCAGTCCAAATTTTGTTTGCTATTGGTTACATGTTCATGGACAGGTGCAGGCCAGCTAGACTGGTTCCCTTACCTTACACTTTTCAGGCATCTATAAATTGATCCATATTATCTTTAGTGAAGTCAAGGAACCAGACTACTTGAACATTTTTTTTTCTTGGTTTTTCCAGCATTTTCGAACACAAAACTTCAAACATGTCAGTGTAACAATTGATCCATTATACTAACCCCTCAAATAGTTCCTTTCTGAATATTACAGCAAAAGCCAATTATGTACATTTCCTTTAAGAGCTCCCAGCCTACCTAAGGCAGGATTGACTGGCTGTGACTGTTTATGTAATGTGATACAGCTATGCTTTGACTGTAGGTGATTGATAAGCCACCTGTGCTACCACTTGCCTGCTTTTGTCGGTTGACTGAATTTGACTAGTCACAGTGCTTGTTTGAAAAACGATCTGACTGTTGGTGACTAGCGTGTATAAAGCCATGGCAGGGGAGAGGATTGATTTTTTGACTGTTTTTTTAACTGTCTGTGACTGTTCAGTTAGCAGGAGGGTTAAGCCGGTTACCATTGAAAGCGTCATGCGATATACACCATTTGTTTGCTGGTACCCTGTTTTGGAAGAATTTAGAGAATTCAAATTTGGATCTTGGGCATCCCACAGTGTCGGACATGCATTATAGACAGTTCAACAGGGTGCATAATAAAAGTTTTAATCATAAAGTGGTTTTTAATAAGGGAATAAATGTGTGTTTGGGAGGTATTATAACACTCTGTTTAAGACCCTTGTGAGTCTGGATGGGCGATAATTACCTGAGGCGAAGCCGAGGGTAATTATCACCCATCCAGACTCAAACCGGTCTTAAACAGAGTGTTTAATACCGACCAAGCACACATTTATTCCCATTCTTAAATAGCTTTTCGGTCCAAAAACCAAAACAAGTAAAAAACTCGACGTTGCCAACCATTTTGTTCAACAATTTTACTTCATGTTTTACGAAACACCCCTCTGACTTTAATATGGAATGCCCCTCCACAACTCGCTACCTTATAGGAACATTGGCGGGCACGTCGCGCGTACTGCGCGATGTCGCGCAAAACGCAGCTGGGCTGGTGTAGTGTGAATTTCGGACAATGAAATACTGATTCACTGGTAGTATTGCGCATGCATACGTGAGGAATGTGAACGTTCAACCAATGAAACCATAAAAGGCACCGGATTTTATGGGAGTCCAAATTTCATGTGACACTGGAAAAGTGTTTAAGACCAGCTAGCCATGTCTTTATCATCCGTTTAAGACCGGCCACGTGACGGGCTCTCGACTAATAGGAATGCGTAAACTGTCTTAGGTATTTATGAATTCCAATTAAACGTAGAGTCAGTTACAAGGATTTAAAAAATTAATTGTTTATCCCACTTTTTCCTGGATCGGAAATCAGCTCGAAACACTGTGGTGTATAAATTGTGAATGCAATTATCAAGCCTAAAACAAAATGTTGTGATGTTAAATTTGAAAATATTATATCCTTTATTTTTTGTTCTTGGTTGTGCATTGAAAGGTCGTTTTACAGGTAAGGATATAAACTCAAAATGTGACAGATTAACTCAGTTTCCAATTTTTTTTTGTAAGCTTGTGTTTTTATGTCGTATTTTGGTAGCAATGTAACAGTGACGCAAACTGTTGGAAAAATAGTTGTTTCATTTTTTTTTTCATTTTGGTGTAAATATAAGGTCACCAAAAAATGTACATTTGCACATTATATTCTTAACTTCATCAACAAATTATTTTTGCACTTTTGGTTATAGAAAGTGTGTTAAATTATTCATTTTAAATATTTATATACACACCAATTTGCATGCGGGCATGTTATGTGTTTGCTTATGCATGCTTTTTCAAGTCGTTTCCATGGTAGTAGAATTTTGTTTAATTTGAATGGTTTCTCGTGGTTTGTTTTCGTAAATGATTGGCTGACTGATTTAGCAGTAGTTCCATTCCTCCCCTTTGTTCCAACCTCCAAAACCCTTTTTCCAAACTTTTTCACGAAGTCAGAGTTTTTCGAGTTGGATTTAACTCTGTTAACCCTTAGGCCATAAAAAAAAAATACTCGGTCTCTGGTTAGACCAAAGTTCCGGAATTGATGCGGTGACGCGGCTTTTTTTTTTTTTTCAAGCTTGGATTGTACAGACAAGGTGGGGTACTATTTTTGCATTTTTGTGTCCTCATGTACATTAGTGCAATTTCCCATTCCTTGGTGCTCTTTGGTACAAAAATTTGAGGAGGTGCGGCAATAGAGGGCGCTGTTGGAGCTACCGCGAAAAATTTTGGAAAAAAAGAAGATTGACGCGCATGATTAAAATCGACGCACGTGCTGACCAGAGACCGACTTTTTTTTTTTTTGGCCTTACCTTTCCAAAACATCCAAAATACTCTTTGCAGAATGGAGGATATTGCCGGATTTAGGCTATATGGTAAAACAAGTGCGGCTGATTTTGGAGGATGCACTGTGTCAAGGTCTTGGGCCGGACCTTGTGTTGTTTATGCTCAGCCGTGCACAAATTCAGGCCTAGATTATACTTGAAATTCTCCGCACTGCTCTAGGATGTCACTGGCTCTGCCTCAACATATTGACAGTGATTGCCGGAGGATTTTGCAGGATTGAGGCAGTGGTCACCCCTCCAAGGGCCACATTCAAGAAATAACGGAGGATTTTGCAGGATTGAGGCTGTATGCCATTTTTACATGGAGGCAGTTGGTTGATTTTGCAGAATTGAGGTTGCGTCCTAGCAAAAATGCCTAGGGAGTTGGGATAATAAGCTGTTGAATTTCCTGTGGATTTATTAGACCCTTTTGCTTTGCTTTTTCTGAGTTCTGCTGGCTTTTTTTCCTTGATACTTCATTCCCAAGTTCCAATGAATTGTTCCCGACCTATCCCACAAAATATTCAATGACTAATGTCTCGTGTAAACAAAGTTTGATCAAAAAATTATTTGGTTTTTGTTTTCCTTTGCTCAGTGCTGCTTATGCCCCTCTCACACCAATCCAAGACCAGTGCGAGGTCACTTAGGAAATGCAATTTTTTCAACAGTATCCGTGGTCTCCGTTTTTTTTGTCCGTTTTTTGATGCCAGCACGTTTTTATTTCATGGTACCCGTTTTTACTTCGTGAGTAATCCGTGGCCACCTCGGAAACACCACGGGACCAACCCGTGCTCATGTCCGTTTCCTGGAATTCACGGACTGCACGCCGGTGACATCTCGTGGCCATCCCATCACGTGATGACTTTGGCACCAGCTAGAGAGTACTACGTGTAGTCCGTGATAACCCCGTAGTACCATTGAGTACCGCGTTATGAAAACGGCCGTAAAACAGGCCAACAATCAATCCGGGGCCATCCCGTAAAATCCTATGTAACTTCAGCCCATCCTCGAGAACACTACGAGAGTACTTCGAATAAGCCGTATTGAACACGTTTTCAATTCGGCAATAAATTTCTGAAGTGCACATGTTTCAGTTTTTCAACATGTCCAAAAACTTTTTGGGTGATCCGTGAGAATCGGCCCAGGGAAGGAATTGACACGTCCTTAATTCGTGGTTAGTTCATGGCAACCCATAAGATCCGATTCCATTTCGTGCTTACTTCGATTGTTAAACTTTTGCGCCCACGGACACCTCAAAGTGGCAACGAAATGGCTTCATGTATTGGTGTGAGAGGGGTCTTAAATATGTTGTGTCTCCTCCCCCATATATCTGGACATCACTATTATTCTGGTATCTATCTCGGGATGCTATAACTCCTAGCACGAAGGCCCCCTTCAATGGCGAATGCATTGTGCTAGGTGTTGTTCGGTTGCTTTGTACAATAGCGTGCGCAATAGTTTCTTTGTTGAAGTGGGCCTTGTGAGTGTACAAGAGTGTTGAGCATCGGGTCGGCTTGACCAGGCCAAACCGACCCGAAACATTATAGATATACAGTCGAGTCTCGTTGTAACAAACTCATTCGGACCTAGCCAAATTGTTTGTTGTATCAGAATTTTGTATTAAGAGGATCATCAGTCCCTTTCATTGTGCACATAAATGCACAGTAGGGACCAAGGCTTTATGTTTGTTATAACCAGAATTTTGTATTAACAGAGTTTGTACTAACGAGAGTCGACTGTAAACAGAATCCGAACTAAAAACCAATCTGAACTCCCTAAAACCGACCCTACCCAACAAAAAATCAAGGAAAAATGACCTGAACCGACCCAAAGCCGACCCGAACCGACCGACCCCTGAAACCCCTGAATATTTGGCTTGGGCAACTGTGTCCACTTTTTGTGCCTGGACTTACCCGCATCGCGTGAAAACCATCGTCTCGCAGTAACTGAATCATACCGTACATGTATGGTACTCACAACGTGACCTACTGGTGGGCCTACCGGCTACAGGCCGTGCGTGATAGACCGCAAACCACATTTGGTCGTACTGGGCACAGTGACTCTGCAAGAAATATTGCATCGTGAGAATTTCCAAGCTGTTTCGGTTTATTTCGGTTTATTTCGTGTTTTCCCAAAATGGCTTAACCGACCCCACCCGAAAAATCGCAAACAAAAACCCAACCTGACCTGACTGAAATGATGGACAAACCAACCCGACCCGACCCGAAGTCGGTTGCGGGTCGGGTTTGCACAACATGAGTGTACAGTGATCACATTCCCAGATTTAACCATACAATGAGTATGTTGGTTTTCATGTTCTGGTTGTTTTCCCGTCTCGTGTAGGAAACTGTGAAGGAGGCTTACAAAGTGGATGGGACCAGCAAGTGCGCCCTCTGTAGTTCAAGAAATGCGGACGTCACGTTCAGACCTTGCGGCCACAGGACGGTATGTCAAGGTAAGACGAATGCGGTTCGTATGTGTCGAGTTCACTACATTGGCTATCAAGACTCCTTATGGAAACAGCAGACGGAGTTCCTAAAGACATGGAAAAAACCTGGAAAATACTGCAATTTCATGCTGCTTCGCTGCACTCATACAGTTTGGTTTAAAGATATAGTCCATCATTTGTAATTTGTGCATTTTGTTCGTTTGAAGCAACAAAAGTGCTCAAAATCTAAAGAAGGGTACTGAACAACTAACCTGATGAAGTTTCAGCTCAGCTTCAGCTGTATATTCCGAGAAAAACAGCATTCTAGGATCTCAATTTCAAATCAAAAGTTGCTGAATCATGTTTTGAATTGGGCCTGAATTCAGCGTCCGAGACACGTTCTCACTGAGCCGATTGCAGCTACGCGATGTCGCGCACTGATCCGACGAATTATAGCTACCGCTTGTGCGTCTTGCCAATGCCTGCGCGCTTCGCTGAATAACAAAACGAACTACTAATTTAAATTTCCTACGGTGCGTCTTAAGAAGCACCGTTGGAAAGGCCTTCTTTTGTTGATTACTTCAAAATGACAGCTTGCCAGAAAGAATAATTTCACAGGAAGTTTAGTCCCCTTACTATCTTTCAACCAAGTATGTTTTTAAACAATAATTACGCCAGTTACTTTTCGGATAGCTGCAAATGATGGACTATAGCTTTAATACGCCGACACAGCTAAATAACACAAGGTACAAAGATTATTCAGTACATATATAAGGAAATATTAATTTCATTCAGACAGCACGGGGTGTAGGCCTGCACACACAATTATGCAAGCTGAAAAAAAGTAAATGCGTGTACCTCGAAAAAGGCAACAATCAGCAAGATACGATGCAGAGTCGGACCCATGATACTGAGGATCTCGTCGCTTTCGACTGTCTAAGTCCTTCGATGCCTCTTCTTCAGCGATCTTGGCACTCTTTTGCTGCTCTGCTGATAAGTGTGCAGTGCTGTTCTTATCTAGCTTCGAGACCGTCACCCAACCAGCCTTGCTTTCGTCAGCGATGGGGATCTTTTTTCTGTCGGCTACCAACTCCTTGGAAACTTGGAGAGCTTCAATCGCTGAGTCAGGATCTGATTTGTTGATCAAAGCCAACTTTGCTTTGTCCAGAGCAATTTCCAGCTTACCGCAGAATTCGAACTGCTCAATGTTACCTGGCTTTGCAGCCTCCTTTGCTTCAAGTTTATTTTTAAGTTCTCTTATGGAACTGGACTCCTCGTTTGGGGTTGAAATGGCGTTGAACCTTTGGTCAAAATAGTCTTTAACCCTAAAAGGGCCGGGGGAGGGGGGGGGCCTCAACTTTTTCCGCGATAGCCTTAAAAAAAATATTTTTGCGACCCGAGCTGTTATGACTTTTTAGCCTCGAGCCTTGCACATCTTTTGATACCAAAAACAAAACAATCGGACAACGGGTTGCCGCGCAGCAAAAAATTTTCCGGCGCTACACAGAGCAGAATTGCCATTCATACACATCAATACTTAATTAGCCGTAATTCAAAAACCCTTGGACCTATAGTCATGAAATTTCTTGGGTATGTTCATGATGAGTTGCTCTATCCATGTACCGAGTTTCAAAATGTTTCGTCACTGGATGGCTGAGATCTTAGGGGGGGGGGGGGGCTGAGAGATGGTCAAAATAACCCGGCCTTTTAGGGTTAAACTTCTCAAAAACTAAAGCTGTATCGGACGGATGTCCTTCTTCGGTCGACATAGTCGACAGAAGTGCTTTGCAAAACAATGAAATTGTGTGTTGTTGTTTTCTTTCTTTACGTCATGCAGAATGTTCCCACAGGGTGAAGGAATGCACAGTCTGTAAGCAGCCTATCCTAGAGAAACTGGGAAATGGTAAGATATTCAACTTTGTTTGACAAAAAATATACCTTTGTTTGAAGTGATCTAATTTTTCAAGAAACTGGAAATTGCAAACTATGCCCCGAAGAGGATACTTTGAAATTAATTGATCAAGGTGGTTTTTATGTTTGCATGGTTTTTTGGGAAGGAAACCTAATTTTGTTTTTAACTGGCCTTACCTAAGTTACATTTTAACAACTGCGTGGTTCAATTTGAGGGGTGCAGACCAGTAAATAGGCCCAAAAATTGCCTTCGCGGGCCAAAACACTATTTGTATGCCTTACATTTTTTGGCTGTTTGAAAATTTTGTGGGCCACGAACTTGAGGATAAAAAAATAATGGTGATAGCCATGCAGAGGACTACGAGATTGTATTTCTGTGAAATTCGGATGAAAGTGGGCCCTATATTTAGTTTATTTTGCAATGGAGCACAGCCATCATTTTTCAAAATGGCGATAGGCCACAGGACTACTTTTAGGGGTGATCATGGATGGAATTTTCTCCCAGAAGTCATCAAATTTACCACCAAAAATTGAACAGAAAATGAATGACGATGAAAAAAGCTTTAATTTGATGGGTGTCTCAAACACCTTGGAGAGCTTTGAGTATTTTTAATAATTTTTGGAAGTACACGTAATTATCACTGGGGTCTATGGGAGTCGATTTACAGGCCTGCACCCTTGGTAGGATCATGTTTTTGGTCGTGTGTCGACCAGTTCCTGATTCACCTCCTCATTGCATTGCATGAGTGTGTCGTGGGTGTGAGAGTGATTTTGTTGGAATCTCAAGCACCAGACTATTTCTAATTGAAGTAAATTATCTGCTCAGTGCACGGTCCATAGAGGGCGCTGTTTGGCATAGCAACAAGAATCAAGATGGCACCTAAAACCAGATTTTTGTACTCCATTTTTTTTTTTTTACGAATTCTTGACCAGTTGGAAACTGGTGGCAATAAATTTGTTTTTAGCATGCCAACAACAACATACATGTATAACATGGGCAGTTTTATATTCCAAATTTGGAGATGGTAGCATAAGATACCCACATGTTCCACTGGTAAAACCCATCCTACATTTGATGTTTTGTTCAAACTTTTCATCATCATGCACTGTAAAACCCAGCCAGTTTTTAACCAAAACTGCTCTAGACAAAACTTCAGTTTCCGCAGCTAGACTTCGCAGTGATTTCCATAGGCTCCGGACTGGGGACCACAATAACTATTGCTTTAACTTGGGATCTGAAGTCCATATTTGCTCTGCAAAGAAAGAATCTTTTGTGAAATGTGTTATTTTAGTGGATTTAGGACGATTTAAAGTGAAAATGTCAAGGGGTATAGGGTCTATGTGTGACTGACCAATTTTCAACACAAGAGGGCGTGACGGTGCACAGAGCAGATATAATACTCATTATCATAATGCACAGTAGTGGTAGCCTTGTTGCCATTTTTGGATAGGCCGGTTCCGTGCTTACATTGTTATTGTGATTTTGTATTCAGGAGGCAGCAATCACACTCAACTTCACTTTGAATAAATATCCTCCGAAGCCACGAATCAGATAGAAAAAGAAGACATATTCTGCAATAAAAAGTAGGATTCGATTTAAAATTAGAGAAAGAAAACTCGTACTTTTGGGAAAATGAAAACAAAAAATTAATTGTCTGAGGCATGTCTTTAACCCACAGTCAGCAGATTGTACATGTATATGATATGATAAACAAGTTTGTTCTATCATGTGCTTGGATACTGTAATTTCATTGGTCTAGGACGGCCACGTATCTGGACCATAAAAATGCATGTCACACACTGAGGGTGACATCGCACTGTAATCATTACACGCGTTGCACTGCGTATGGTACCTGCCGGGGCGCTAGCTTTTGCACAATGAGAACGGCAATGTCAAACGCTCATGTCCGGCAGGACATCAAAACTCTCATTTATCAAACGTTACATCGCAGTGATTTAATGTATTTCTCATACAGTAAGTTAATTGGCACGATTTAGCGGTAGTAACACAATTGTTGACTGCTGTGATGTGGGATATGCGAATTTATTGGCACAATATAACAACACAGATATTGACTGCTGTGATGTGGGATATGCCGTTTTCAACCCCCTTGGGGCGCATAGCACCCTTTTTCTTCGCCTCGGGTGCTATGCACCCCTCGGGGGTTCAAAAACATGATATCACACATCACAGCAGTCAACAATGGGTAGAAATGTACGTACATGCCCCACAACTCCTTTTGAGATGGCAACAAGACTATCGCTATTGGGCAGTTAACCATAACCATACTTCATATTTATTATTTCTGTCTTTTCTTTAATCCATCTCATCCTCCTCCTTGTGCATGCACCCTTCACTGACGTTCTCACCCATCCCACACATCACCACTACCGCATGCATGCCATTTTTGTGTTGTGCGTGTGTGATGACCCAAGACGGCCACCAAGTCGCCACTCGCCGAGGTTCCGGGTCCGTGTTTTCGGCCTCGCCTAGAGGGAGCCCCTCAACCAAACCCAGGCAGAAAGGTGTTGTGGCCCACCCTTCTCAATCAATTGATCCATATTACTGCCCGCCCACCCCGCATGTGGCATGCGTGGCCGCGCAGCATGAACGCCTCTCCAGTGCCACATTGCATGTTCAAGCCACGCTTGTCATGGGCACGTGCACGTTATCTTGTTTTACTATACTCCCGAGGACAATGCTTTGTGTTTTCCTTTGTCCCTGTAATATAACATACTCTCATAGACTAAGCACATAAACTTACTACACAGGACCGTTTAGAACAAAAGACCCAACTCCCGAGGGCTGAAAGGATCTGGGGGGGGGGGGGGGGTCAGAACACCAACGGGCGGAGTTTACTGGATCAGTCAATAAGCCAGTTTCGGTATCTCTATGAAGTAGCCCAGGTCAAAGGTCAGGCGGGATAACATTGCTACGTGATGCTACGCGGACGTTCAGCCCACTTGTAATTATTTCCAACGATCGTTGGAAATTCCAGTTTGTAGTTCCTTTTTTTTTATTCAGCGAAGCGCGCAGAAGCGTTGACACGATGCACACATGCGCGCGGTTGCTATAATTCGTTGGTTCAGTTGGCAACATCACGTAGCTGAATGAGACACTGAATTCAGGCCCAAATCAAAACATGACTCAGAAACTTTTGATTTGAAATCGAGTACTAGAATATTGTTATCTCAAAATATACAGCATTCACTCAGCTGAAACTTCATCAGGCCAGTTGTTCAGCACCCTTCTTTCAGATTTTGAGCACTTTTGTTGCTTCAAACGAACATAATGCACAAATTACAAATGATGGATGTACCTTTAATGTTAGGGTTAGGGTTAATTTTAGGGTCAGGGTTTTAAACATAAGCAGTCGGAATATAGGGGTGTCGGAACATAAGTATCACACCTGTCTTACCACTCGACCACTGAGCTCATCGGAGCCGGCTGACTTCAGAGCCTCAAGATATACAGTTGTATTATTACAACTCTTCCCTCTTTTCTGTCTCTTTGACTTTTTTGACCCCAGATGCCCCCACGTCCTCCAACCCCGTCTCCCACCGGGAGGTCCAGGAGCTCAAGCAGCGCATGCAGGAGATGGAAGACGCCCAGCTCTGCAACATTTGCATGGAGCGCAAGAAAGACACGGCCTTCCTGTGCGGCCACAGCACCTGCAAGAAATGCGCCAAGCCCCTCAAGCAGTGCCCCATCTGCCGGAAACCTATCACCAAGAAGATTGCCCTTTTCACGGGATGAACAGAAAAAAAACACTATAGGTGAGACCACTGATCTCTATATAAAGACTGGATAGCGGATATGCATACAACATTCACACAGTAGACTTTGCATACCAATTCGCCCCTGGTCTCACGAAGATGGCCGCGTATAATACGAACGTTCTACGCGTAAATACGCGCGCGCTGTATCAACAGTTGACGCGCATTTTGGTCAGGTACACATATTATGATGTTCTAAAAAGGACACATTTCCGTAGTGATTATTATTTCAAAAACGCCGAAAAAGTGATTTGCAGCATTATAAAAGTAACCACGACGTTAGAAAAATTGTAGTAAACCTTGGTCAGTTGGTCAGTGGTGGTGGCCAAAATATAAGTCAAGTGAGTCGCGACGTTACAAAAGAAATCAAGCTGTCTATAAAGACGGCAACTTGTCCTTTGTAGATCACCAGCCGGTCTCACCAATATGGCGTCAAATTCGTACATTGTGCGGCTCTTTATTAGCTATCCAGTCTTTATATAGAGATCAGTGGGTGAGACTCGAGATATTATTTTTCTATGGACCCCAAACCATTGATCTCCATTTCAAAAAAAAAAATCTGGATTGTTCGTTGGCCATTCCGAGCTGTACAACAAGCTCGAAATGATCCCGGAGCTGCGGGCCATCGCATTCGTGTTCATATGTAATTTCTGGAAGGAGTAGTGTTTTTGAGTACAAAAATTAGGTATTTGACCCTAGTGACTCCCAGGACCAGAGATGCCAACCATTACTCTTTTGGAGTAATTATTAGGATTTTGAGGCATGTTACTACTCTTGAAAATTCCAGCTGTCCTATACGCCAACATTGTGGTTACTCTGACAAGTACTGCGGTTACTCTTAAACTTGACTGTTGTCCTATGTATTTACATTAGCATTACTCTTTGCAGGAAGATTCATTCCTATTTTGTAGTCTGTAAAGTTGGCATCTCTGCAGGACTGTATTAAATTGGTAAGCGGTCTGTGGAGAACCAATTAACTCTAACAGAACTCAACCCATCAAACACCAACGGCATGTTTTGTTGGAATCTGTCAGGATGGGTACAGTACCCCTAAACTGACAGTCTTTTACATTGGGTTGGCACACCTCCGGAATCAACGTCAGGAATAAGTACTTGTGCAGTTTCCCTTATGGTGTTGGCATTTGCCAGGATGGGTATGGTTCCTAGTAAATCATGCTAGGGAGTTGGGGTTAAAGCGAACAATGGAGGGCCAGGGCCTGAGGAACGAGTGATGCTTCTTCGATGTGCCGGTTTTTGAGGGTGTAAGGATTTATTTCAAGCAAGAGAAAAACACCGACATAACCTTCGGTTTCAAATTTTTTTAGGCTGGCGGTGGAACACGTACCACACACACAACATATCAACTGGTTGTGTGGTACGAATCTGCGCGTGTGCGTCGCTACCAGGTTAAACCTCGAAAAACTGGATGCCTCGAAAACCGGTACACAGACGATATCTGCTCCGTTCAAAAGTACCCCCTCACCGGCAAAGAAAGTACAGTTGGGGCTGACCGATCGACGCCATCTTGCCCGACTGCCGTATTTTGCCGCGAAGCGCGGCCACTGCGTGTACATAGTACAAATCCCCTGGTGTATGTGCGTCACACACAAGGAACGGTGCGCGCGTCAACCAGCAAAATGTATGTGTCCCGCCCAAGGGACGTCGTTGCTAGGTAAAAGGGCGCCCTCTTTTGTTGGCGCACGGAGCCCATACCCATGCAAGGCTGTCACTGGAATGTTTGTTACTAACGGAGAGACGCAACGATCTGTTAAGCCGCAGCTAAAAAAAATGAAGCTAGCACTGGTTCCGATCCCACCATTCAAAAGTGAGGAGGGAACCAGTTTCAACCACTCCCATTGTCTGAAATAGAGTTGTCTAAATTATATGAAAACTTTGTTTTCTGAACAGATTGGTTTTTTTTTTCTTCAGTGCTTTGGTCCCTTGAAATGCGTTTGTGATAGAACATCTGTTTTATTTTTAAGTTGAGGACCATTTTGAGAATCGTTTTTTCTCAATTCGCTGTTTACTACACTGCAAACTGCCCCTGTTTTCCATAAAAAAAAATTATTCAGAGTAACTCGTGTAATCTTTAAAAAAAAAAATCTTTGGTAAGATGGCTTCTGACTCTACTGACATTCAAACAGTCATAGGCCATATTCATGAAAAACGTCTTGCAGATTATGGGGTTTATTTTAATTTTAGTATTCAAGAAAGAACAGCATTTCTTGTGGGATGTTCTCGATTCATTGGTTCAACAAAAGCATAAACTTGTCAAGCCAATGTATGTTTTAATAAAACTTATGTCAAGTTTGTTCATATTGAACGCCAATGTACCCTGTGCCCAGCGAAGAACCCCGCTTACTGAAGCAGAACATTCCGTGCTTATGGTAAGCATAATTTCATGGGTAAGCGAGCAATTTTGGCTTATATGTATGCGAATAAGTACATACTTTAACTAAAGATTCTGTGCCTACAGGGTTAGCACGGAATTCTGTGGTTAGCAGAGCTGTGAAATTGGGCCCGGACGAGGTATTTTTTTCTTCTGAGCACATAACCCAGTAACACTACCGAGGATTAATGTTGTGCGTCGGGTTGGGTTGACCAGGCCAAACCGACCCCAAAACATTATAGATATAAACCGAATCCGAACCAAAACCGATCTGAACTCCCTAAAAACGGCCCGACCCGACAGAATGCAAGGAAACCTGACCCAAACCGAGCCGACCAGAAAAATCCCCCCGAATATCTGGCTTGGGAAACTGTGTCCGCTTTTTGTGCCTGAACTAAACCGCGTCGCGTGAAAATCGTCATCTCTCAGCTACCGTATGGCACTCACAATGTGACCCACTGGTGGGCCTACATGTTACGGACCGTGCGTGAAAGACCGCAAACCACAGTTGGTCGTACCGGGCACAGTGACTTTGCAATAAATATTGCACCGTGTGAATTTCAGAACTGTTTCGGGTTTTTTTTTTTTTTTTTTAATTTATTTCAAGATGGCTTAACCGACCCGACTCGAAAATATCAAACGCAAAATCAAAACCGACCTGACCCGACTGAAATGATGGACAACCCAACCAGACCCGAATTCAGTTTGGGGTCTTTGTTCTTGGTTGGTTCATCTCCTAAATACTCCGCGTGGGAGTTTATACAGGAGGCCAGAAACACCGGGGCAAACCCCTTCTCTTAGCGATAAGTGTCACTGGGTTCTTTTACGTGCATTGGATTACACAACACACGGGAACTCTGGCTTTACGTCCCATCCGAAGGACGAAGCAATAATGGTTAAGTGCCTTGCTCAAGGGCACAAGTGTCCACCCGGCGGGCTCGAACCCACGCCATTGTTGCCTCTGAAACACCAGAGCATGAGTCCGGCGTTCTTAACCGCTAGGCCATGACACGGGTTGGGTCGGTTTCGGTTTTGGGTCGGGTTTGCACAACATTTCCAAAGATGTAGTTTTTTGTTTCCTTCAAAGAGTCGTTCAAATGAATTTTCAAAAAATGTTAATGTTGTATTTCTAGCAATTGTAATATAGTGTAAAAAAAAAAAAAAGTTGCAAACTAAAGTTTGTCGTGCTTCCAATTTCTTAAATTGGGTCGGCCTTACCTGTACGTAGCTCTGAAAAATAAGTATGTACATTTTTACTTTTATGTATTTGGTGAATAACGGTCTATACATGTAGATATAGAATTGTTATGAACGACTTTAAATTTGGTTATTTTTTTACTTTTAAGAAATGTCTTATATTTGCCTTAAGTTTCATGGTCAGTGTGAGTGTGGAGTTTTGTACGTTAAAGTAAGTTCTTTCGTGAAGGGGTTGCTGTGGTTACCGCAGCAGTAACTATGGCAACCCGTTAAGAAGATGTGGCAATTTTAGTCGAAAGGAAAAGGGGCTTATTTGAAGGTAAACTTCCATGGAGAATTGTCTACAAATTGTCTCCGTTTGTGTTACTCCCTTGAGTAGTTGTGATTCTTAAAACCCTGTCCAAAAAAGTTAACAGCGCCCCCACTTGGCAAACGTGCACAAGGTTTCCCGAGTTGTGTTTTCTTTTTGTGCCTTAATTTAGATTTAAAAAATCTTCGATATGAATTTTCAGAAGGTTTTCTTCAAATAAAATAATATTATGCAAGGACTTTTTTTTCCATTGTGTGAAGAAAAGTCTAAGAAAGGAACACACAATTGCCTTAGTTAATGCTTCAAGGCAGATGGGATTCGCTGTGATGTTTTGACGGCTGTATCATGGAGCAATAGTTGTATTTTGCGCATTAAAGGGAATATACAACATTTGCTTTTGCTGTAATTTCCAGAATTGGATGGATTTGGGGGTTAGTATTTTATAGCAAATATTGTCACACTGACCTGTTTAAAGTTTTGTGTGTATAGATACTGGAAAAAACCAAGAAAACAAATGCTGTTCTTGTAGTCTGGTTCCCTGACCCTACTACGGATGATGCGGAGCAGTTTATAGATTACCATGTCAGGAACCAGGCTCAGAAGGCTTGCACCTGCTCACGCATGTGTTACCGACTGCAAACAAAATGAGGATGAAGTGAATTGGGGGCAGTATTTAAAAAAAAAAAAAAAAAATTCCAACGATGGTCAGCCAAGCATCGTTGGAAATTGATACAAAACTTCCACTTTTCTTGAAAATGACAGCACACCAGGTGCCATGATTTCACAGGATGCTTGGGACTATTATTCGCTTACAGTCAAGTAAGGTATTTCATAATAATTTGGTATTTTGTTTTTTGATGTTTGCAGATGTTGTATGTTGACTTTAAGCAAGCTGTTTCGTTGTTATTTCTGAAATTATACAAACTGATGAAATGAGAATTTGTACAAAGTATGTTTAAGTATGTATTCTGGTGATGTATGAAATTGAAGGATTCAACTACCGGGGGGAAATTAAAGCCATTTCTCAAATTTGGCTTCAGATGTGGAAATGGAAAGACTGTAGCGCTGACATTTTATTTAAAGAAATAACAAG